TTGTCCACAGACAGCTTTCTGGGTCATGTGGCCAGCATGACTAAACCGCTTCTGGCACAACAGGACACTATGACAGAAACCAGAGCGCACTGAAATGCCGTTTACCATCCCGCCACAATGGTACCTATATATCTACTTGCACTGGTGTGCTTTCAAACTGCTAGGTTGGCAGGAGCTGGGATAGAGCAACAGGAGCTCACTCCATCACAGGGATTCGAACCACCGACCTTCTGATTGGCAAGCACAAGAGGCTCAGTGGTTTAGACCACAGTGCCGCCCATGTCCCTTTACCTTTACCCCCATGTGGGAGTTACCTGTATGCACCTCATGACGTTGCTTGATAGGTCAGCGCTTGATGACTTGCAGATATAAATTGCCTACAGTGGTGATGTTAGGTGATATGAGAAAATGGCCTTTGGCAAAGTTGTACAACTTGTGGCCCACCAGTTCTTGTCAGGGAATGGGCAAAGGAGGAATGGTGGAGAGAACTATGGGGTTGCAGTGCTCATCTTGCTCTCAGGCCAAGGGAGCTGGCATTTGTCCACAGACAGTTTTCTGGCTCATGTGGCCAGCATGACTAAACCGCTTCTGGTGCAACAGGACACCATGACGGAAACCAGAGCTCACGAAAATTCTGTTTACCATCCCGCCACAGTGGTACCTATATATCTACTTGCACTGGAGTGCTTTCGAACTGCTAGGTTGGCAGGAGCTGGGACAGAGCAATGGGAACTAACCCCTTTGGGGGGATTTGAACCACCGACCATCTGATCAGCAAGCCCAAGAGGCTCAGTGGTTTAGACCACAGTGCCACTCACTGTGGCAGCCTAACCCTCACCGGTGTGGGAAATGGAGGGCTCATGTGGCCCTACTGCACCACCTGCCCACCTCTTTGGGCAGATGGGGCCCCAGCTGGCTGATGTGGCCCTTGGCATCCCCTCTGCAGCAGACAAGGTGCGGATCTCTCCATGGGGGTGCCTGGCTCACGGCCCCTCAAAATCATGTACCCGGGGGGTCATGGGGGGCCCTGAATTCAGATGCTTATACTTTCTGTTAAGGCTTCTTTGAAGAACTTTTGGAAGAGCAAAGGTGGATTTAAATTAGCATTAATGTCATTTACATGGAGCTAAATTGAAGAGCTTTCCATGTCTCTTATTCAATTTATATTGTAATGAATGATTTATACACAGCTGAGACATTAATGTCAGATGAAATTTCTTTTTCAAACTCCTATCTAAACTCTTGGTATAGATTCATTTTTTCCCAGGTTGATAGTTAGCCTTTGATTTCCTGATGTACTATAACCTTTGTCATCACTGAATCTGTAGTTTGAATATGTTCAATTAAATTAAGAAGCTTCTTGATGTCGGCCTGATGTTCGGAGGAAGCATATCTCCCTGACAGAAATATCTCTGGATGATCATTTTCAAATGTAATGAAACACAGTAGCATTCATTAGCCTCTATCATTAATGGGAAGCAGCAAGGGGAATGAGTAAGACTTTTAAAAAGTAAAGAAGAAGTAAAGAATGAATGGGTTGTTTAGTATGTAAATTTTGTAGCAGATTTTTGTAACTTTCTATTACTACTATTATTGTTTTAAAAATTATTCAACCTTTTTAAAAAGCACACTTGAACGGGCCACATTTATTCTGAAGAGTAAACAGCTGTGTGGTCCCAGTTAGGAAGTTGCTCAGCTTGGATCGCTGAAAAGTGATTTCCTACCCAAAGTGTTGTTTTCCTGCTATTTGTTCCCCAAAGGTTCCGTTTCTAATAATTAGCACCTTGAAGAGCAAATGGCAACCAGAGAGAGGGAGATTTTCAGCAGAGAAGAAGAAGAGGAGGAGGAGGAGGAGGAGGAGTTTGGATTTGATATCCCGCTTTATCACTACCCTGAGGAGTCTCAAAGCGGCTCACAATCTCCTTTTCCCTTCCTCCCCCACAACAAACACTCGGTGAGGTAAGTGGGGCTGAGAGACTTCAGAGAAGTGTCACTAGTCCAAGGTCACCCAGCAGCTGCATGTGGAGGAGCGGGGAATCAAAGTCGGTTCACCAGATTACGAGTCTACCGCTCTTAACCACTTTAGGGCCCCAATCCAGAGAGTTACACAACACGAAGCCCTCCAACACATTGCAGATTCAGCTGTCAAAACAATGTGCTAATGGTGATAGAGATAACATTGCCACATTTCTTGAAGCCTAAGAAAGATGGCATTTTACTACTCTGCAAATATATACATTTAGAATTCAGCCTTGAAAATGCTTTGGAACTATCTCATAGTTTAGCCTCAAACTGCCCACTATGGAAGCTCTATTCAATCAAAAGGTAGGCAGAGATATAGTGATGAGTCACTAGGTTATTTACGCAAGGGGAAGCATATTTGTCATTTCTTTTGCTAAACCATTAGGACCCAGAAACCCATGTTGTTAGGTATTTTTGCTCGCACACCCAATCTCCACAGCCGTGCAAGATTCCAGGGGTTCCAGGCGCTCAATGTGGGGCCATGTTTCCTTTTGGGACTGAAGCACAGAGGAGACTGTGGTGTCTTTATGATATATGGACTTATTTACATGTGTATACAACCTGAGCCTACAACAGAGGAGTTCACAGCATTAACAATCCAAGATGATCTTGCTTCCTCTATAGGTGCAGCCTAGGTCCCATGCAGGGATCCAAAATCACACTCTGCCTGCTACTTTGCACCTCAGTCACACAAGTCCTCTGGTTTTACCTGTTGAGGGAAAGGCCCTAATCATCTGCCATCTCACACTGAGTCTCTTTTGAAGCTCTGTTATCTTAATGGCCCATCAACTGGGCTATCACTCATGTTTTAGGATATGCTGTAAACCGCCCAGAGTAGCTTGGGAAATCAAGCTTGGCTTGGTTAGCTTTTGACACTTGCTAATTCCAGGGGATTAGAAGTTCTGATACACAACTTAATACACAGGGGTCTTGCCCCACCTTTTGGAACCCCGAGCCTAATTAAATTCTAACACTTACTGGTTCCAGGAATTTAGAAGTGTCTAGGCCCTATAAACTCAGAACATTATTAAATTTGCTATTGAAATTTTACTGCCTGAGATGGGGGAGATGTGCCAGAAAAACATGGCTTGCCTTTGGTGCTCTGTACCATTACAAGAGTTTGGGAGCAATAGCACTCATGGGAGAGAACATTGTGACCATGCACATTCAGGGTGAATTCCTGAAAAGACTAGCTTAAGACAACTTCAAAAGTTCATAAGGGTCAACATAAATTTATTGTGGATAGGGAATGTGTGTCTAAATGTACACAGACACACATCAGGTTGTATATTGATTAAAATGGCTGAATGCCCCTACTTTCACAAACCACTTTAACAAACACTAAGCACCGTCACTTGCAAGCGGCTGAAACAAATCCCAAATTTAGAACACAACGATGTTCTCATCCTATTGTCTAATACCGTATGTATTCACACTGGAGCGCAGAATAAAGTCATTTACCTTTTGCAGATAGGTCAGTAGGGAGTTGCTTGTTTGTTTCTACAAAGACTGCTGCAACCTTGGTGTCAAAATTGCTTGCTACAAATTTATATGGCACAGCTGGTGTTTGGTATCATTCACCGGGGATTTAAGTTCACTGCACTGAGTCCGCAGTTCTCAGGAGTAGCATTGCACTTACTTTCAAAAAAAAATTAACTGGGGGGGGGAGTGTAAGACACATCTATTCAATCAGTAAATGACCACTATTAAGAATTAATTTTCTGTCTTGTGTGCCCTTGCCAGAATATAGTCATTTTTCTTAACTGGCAGGTAAGGGAACAACCAGATTAGATTAAAGCTGACCTAATAATTCAGATGTCTTAAGAGTATAAAATATTTCTAGTTTTTAAAAGCTACCTAACAGCACAAATTGGAAATTCTTCCACCAGGCTATACCGATCAACAGCAAGAGGTAGAAAGCAAAATAATTCATCCCAGGTATGACCAAATAACTGACAGTTTAATACGTGAAAAGATGAGAATTGTGCAGATATGTTGTCTTCAGAGCCAGTAGCTAAACTTCAATTGCCTTCAAACAGCCTTGGTGCCAAGATTCTTTTCGGAGGAGATGGAAGATTTTCTTCCCAAAAAGTTTTTCTGAAGTAAAAATTTAAGTGCATTCCGTAATACGTAACATTAAATCTTATGTCCAAAAGAGCTAAGTCAAGGTTACTGCAGTGAAGTCACGGGTCGTAGTAGGAGATGCGAAGAGAACATTTCTCTGCAGTTCATCTTAAGACATTCAGATGGTCTATCTAAAGCAGCTTCACATAGCCAGAATGAGGGCCATCACCTGATCACTGAGAAAGGGTGAAAAAATGGCCGGGAGAATTTCTGTGTCGCCACAATGGTTTGCTTAAACAAAAATGTATTTAACTGAGAATTATTTAACACAAAAGCTATGTTTTATAAGCTTTCCTGGTGTCTGCTGTTAACTGAAACCAGTGACAGTGTCAGATTTTTTTGTGCCCTAGGCAGGTCTAATGACTTGCACATACCCCACAAAATATAAATAAATTGCCAACTTCAATTATCCTACCTGGGTTTTCACCATTCAAGCTAACAGTCATTGACTGACTAACCTTAACCACTATACTGCATAGATCTCGAAAAGTACTTCTTCTTGTTTCATGTGAACTGAACTTTGGGGGGGGGGGATTAAGTGGAGTTGCATTTGGGAGTGCAAGGAACTGGAAGTCTAAGTCAACACGAAATGGATAATGGCATGCAGCAAATTATAAAATTGCAGCACAGCTAGTATTTATTTGGGAAGCAACGGAATTAATGTGGGTTTATGGCAAAGACACAGTCCTAGTCTTTAAAATCATGATGTGTAAAAAGTCACAGGACCAATGTGAGAGAGCTGACAATAGCTGCCCGGAATAGCAACTAATTAAATTTTATCTCTATCGAGCCGCTAATATGAGCACATATCAGTTCACATTTAATATTGGAAAAATGTACTCCATTCCATTTTTGCAGAGGCAGCTGTTTAATGATTTGATACATCAAAGTGGTGGTTGGGCAAAATGAGAGAAGTGGGAATTTTCATAAACTGAGAGGAAAGCAATTCTTAGAATCAGATTGGATGGTTCAAAGCTGTAGGATGACTGTTCTTACATATGCATGGATTCCAACAAACAGGTTTCTTTCAAAGGAAAAGATTTCACAGATCATCATTAGTATCTTTATATTTGATTGCTAAAAGCCTGCAGGATAAGGATTACATAATGCAGCAATTTACTGTATAACAATTAGTATGAATGTAGAAATGCTCAAAACATTGGTGCATGCATGCAGTTAAAAGCTTTTATAGTCATATCATTTACCATAAATAGCCACTATTAAAATCACAGTCTATACTATCTATTTAAAAATTGGAGAATTTAATATTACAGGCCCTGTTCCAATGGCAAATTTCCACGTTTGCTTTTGCCACTAAGAATGTAAAAGGTAAAGGTACCCCTGCCCGTACGGGCCAGTCGTGACCGACTCTAGGGTTGCGCACTCATCTCGCTCAAGAGGCCGGGAGCCAGCGCCGTCCGAAGACACTTCCGGGTCACGTGGCCAGCGTGACGAAGCTGCAACTGGCGAGCCAGCACCAGTGCCGCACACGGAAACGCCGTTTACCTTCCCGCTATAAAGCGGTACCTATTTATCTACTTGCACTTAGGGGTGCTTTCAAACTGCTAGGTGGGCAGGAGCTGGGACCGAACGACGGGAGCTCACCCCGCCGTGGGGATTCGAACTGCCGACCTTACGATCAGCAAGTCCTAGGCACTGAGGTTTTACCCACAGCGCCACCCGCGTCCCTACTAAGAATGTAAGAAGGTATAAATTTCCATCCATCCCCATATTTGTCACATACAGGGCTGTTTCCGTTCTGCTGCAATTCGGCCTCAGACAAAATTTACATAATTCATCTCGCTGTCCACTTGGGTGAATTTTACATAAATAATTGCACAATTAATTATGTGATCATTACATTATTCCAAACCATTCATTTCGATGCAAGCAAAATGCAATGCAAATGGAGCGGTAGAGTCATCAGTTTTGTCATTTGCAGGCTGAAAACAACAACAGTGAATACTGATCATATCTGCTGGTGGGATTTCCATTCTGGGCATTGGACAAATAAGTCAACATCAGCAATTTCTACTCCTGTTTCCGTGATCCTTATTCACTACAGTTATCATAGCCCCCAATGCTTCTCTCAACCTTGAAGCTGAAGAGATGGTGGGGATTGCCCGGGTGTTATGCAGCAATCCCCAATTCCTCCCCAGCTCCAGGTTTGAGAGGAGGGGAGCTGTGGATTGTTTGGCAGTCACATGACAAATCTAGAATAGTCCCAGAGCATCCTTTTTGCTTGAGAGCAGGGAAGGCTGGCAGAACTTCATTGGTTGCTCTGTGGTGACACTTCAAGCACTGCTAATTTATTATTACTTCACAACACTGGCGAAGCTGCCAGGCTCTCCCTGCCTGTCTTTCCTGCAAGATAATTTGGGCTCCTGATGGGCAGATCTTGACTCTGCCAAGCTATCCGGGAACATGGGGGACAGAGGCTGGAACCTAGCACCCATAATGCAAAAGGTTAAGGCCCCTATCCAGAGGGTGTCTGGTGACCTCAGCGACCAAGGCTTTCAGGTCTCATCCACCAAGTGCCTCCTGTTCTATTTAAAAAGAGGCACCCCAAATTCAGGGAGATATCAGAGCTGCTTCCAGCACAGAACTGGGCTAGTAACAGCTAACATCTGTCTCTTGCTTGCTTAAAACAGCTTCTGTGAATCACACAAAGTGCCTGATATAAACTGGAGTACAAGTTGACTGGTCTTATTTTTGTTGATTTCAGAACTCACGTAGATCCAACATTAAGTTCACGTGTGGTGTCTCAGCTGTGGGTCTGGAATGGGTTGCAGCCTCCCCTTTCTCCAGGGCTGGCCTGAGACATTTTGCTACTTGGGGCAGAGCAGAAAATGCCCTCCGGTTAAGACCCTACCTGCCTGCTCATTGTCTCATCAGGGTACTATAAGCTGGGGTTATCTCCCTCTTGGACTACTGCAATACATTCTATGTGGGGCTACCTTTGAAGGCAACTTGGAAACTACATGTGGCAGCTAAACTGGTGACTGCTAGTGGCCGTGAAACCATATAACACTGGTCCTGAAAGATCTACATTGGCTCCCAGTACATTTCCAAGCACAGTTCAAAGTGCTGGTGCTGACCTTTAAAGCCCTAAGTGGCTTCGGCTCAGTATACTTAGTATCTCCACCCCATCATTCAGCCTGGACACTGAGGTCCAGCTCTGAGGACTTTCTGATGGTTCCCTCACTGCAAGGTTACAAGGAACCAGGCAGGGGGCCTTCTCAGTAGTGTCAGCCGCTCTATGGAACACCCTCCCATCAGATGTCAAGGAAATAAGTAACTATGCAACCTTTAGAAGACATCTGAAGGAAGCCCTGTGTAGAGAAGTTTTTAATGCTTAATGTTCTATTATGTTCTTGTATATGTTGGAAGCTGCCCAGAGTGACTGGGGCAACCCAGTCAGATGGGTGCGGTATAATAAGAGTAATAATAATAATAATAATTGCAATTGTACAATTCAAGATGTGTGATTTGTGTCTGAGCGGCTGTTTGCTTTACTTGCCGACAGTTTTGTAGCCACATCCTATCCACTGGCCATTCCTGATTTGCAAAGTGCAATAAGCGGCGTTAAATGCTGGGAATGTTTAACCTGAAGCAAGCCGGAGCCTAGCAGCGGAAAGGAGGGCTCTTTGAACAGCAGTTTGCTTCAAGTAAATAAGGCTCTTGTTTGCCAACCTAAAGGTTGCTTGTGAATAATTAATGTGCTGAGAAACCAAGGTTTGTAAATAGAAGCTTGCAAGGTGGAAAGGTTTTGCTGAAATACGAAACTGAGCAACTGAACTATTCCCTTAAATGCTATTATTAAAGATATTTCTCGGCCTTTGACCTGTCCCATTGTTTTCTCAGGTTAGCTGGAAATCTGTTTGTTTGTTTGTCTGTCTGTCTGACAGTTGTTGAGTGTGCTTTCTCCGCCCAGTTAGGCTGCAATCCTCCAAGGCACAGTTTCTTGCAAGTAAGCCCCTCTGAACTCATTGAGACTCCTATGCAAACATGGTTTAGGACTGCACTGCCACACACAGACAGACACACAAATATTTTGGTTCTTTCTGCTTTGCAACAGTTTCACAGAAACACATCACATGCAGATAGACTGAGGCTCGAGTCCTAGCTTTTCTTTTGTGAAAGTTGCTAACAAGTTAAAACATAATGGAGCTTCTGCTATCTCCTTGCTTCCCTGTACAACCCCCAACCCCCACTGAAAATCTGCTTTTGGGGGATGGGGGATCCTTGGGAATCAGTTTGCATTTAAAAATGAAACTAGCCAATTTGGAGTCTCCAAACTATGTAAAGTGCAGCGGCGTAGCGTGGGTTGTCAGCACCCGGGGCAAGGCAAGTAATTTGCGCCCCCTAACCCCTAACCTGCCGCCGCTGCCAGCTTCTTCTTGCTGCTGCCTGGTCTGGTCTGGTGTGGTTCTCTCCCGCGCTCAGCGCTGCGCTGGGCGGCCGCTGCACTGTCCCTCCCCAGATAGTCCCTCGCTCTCTCTCCGCACCGCACGCCTGGCACCCACCCCCTCCACAGTGGGCGGCGACCCAGCGGCTCGGATCGGATTCGCACAGCCAGCACTGCAGTGAGAGAGGGTGAGTGAGCCAGGTAGGGGCAGAGAGCTGCGAGTGCGAGCGCACCCCCCCCCAGATGTTGCACCCGGTGCGGCCGGCCCCCCCTGCACCCCCCACGCTACGCCACTGGTAAAGTGTGTATAGAAATTAGGGCTGTACACAGGCCCACCCTCCATGGACCTGATTTGTGGACCCTGGATCTCAAATCCCACAAGTGTGCAGGGGGAAAAAGACATCCTGTTTTTTTCACTCAAGAGCAGGGTGGCCATTTTGGGTGCCACAATTTTGTGCCAAGATTTTACCCCCCCAAAAGCACTTTTTCAGAACCCCAAATGCACCTTTCTTGTGCAAGAGCACGCCCCCCCCCGAAAAACACATCTATTGGGCTCCGTGATATCACACTGGTCACATGATTCTCACAGGAGCATGACTGGGAAGACACACACCCCAGTTTTTGGAGTCAAGATGTTGGAAGGTATGGGTTCTGCACAGTACCGATTCAGGGGTGGTTCACCCCAATTTGGCAAGTGGAGCTAAGGGTTTTTAAACCCCTACCTTCAGATACAAACTCATGACCCCAGACAAAAAAGCATGCACACACACGCGTTCTCAAACCTCTTTCTGCTCTGCACAGGCAGTTTCCATAGCTGTAGCTGCAAATCTTTATCCAGCATTTAGGAAATCAAAGTGCATAGAGAATATACCATAGTAAACAAATATACATAATCAATAGGTTGTTAAAACTCCCCTCTCTTTGCATAGTGCTGGATGAAAACTGCTGATATGACTGATAAGGAATAGGTTGCAGTTTATTTCAAAAGAGAGAAAAAAGATATACAAGCAGTATTTCCTTTCTCATGATGACCTGCTGTCCTGTTTCAGAAAACTGATACCAAAGATGGGGAAGCAGATTCTTAATACACAGGACTGATTATTAAAGGAAGTAAATCTTACCAGCATAACTAATCGCCCTCTCCTCATGTACGGAACACTGATGCCATCTACAGATAGCATAAAAGCATTTTTAAAGCATAGATTAAATGTTATGTATTCTTACCGTGTGGTCCCACCAACTGTGTTTGTGCTTTAAAAGGAAAGAATTAGATGCAAATAACATTTTACAGTACTTGCAAATGGCCCATTTTGAATGTATACTGAGGAGCTGATCCAATCCTTAGTGAAATTAGTAGACAGGGATTAATGTTGGGTGTATTTATGCAAATCTTGTAGTCCACTTAGTTGATTGTGTGCTTTTGGATTAAGCCTTACTAATAGATTAGTGGATGACTAAAATACATATTAAACATTTGCAATACAAACAGTCACATCCAATACAGCAAAAAGCTTCATCTTCCCATGAGATTTCAACAAACAAGGAATAAATGCATGCAACTTATGAGAAATGCTTTTGTAACCAAAGTAATATGTATCATACTAGTGGTTAAAATCTTTTGGTTAATCAATAAACTGAACTGAACATAATAGCAAGGTTTCCACACCCTATTTTTTTCAAGACTGTGTCCAAATTTCAGACATGCCACTCAGCCCTGGTTTGAGACATTAGCTGCCCTAGATTTTCAGCTATCCTTGGACAAAAGGAAGTCTGAGGTCCTTGCAGAATCAGTTTTTGTTTAGCTTTCAGTAGCTTGACAACGTATTTACTGAGAAAGAAGCCTAATCTTCCACTATTCTAGCCCGTGTTTATTACCCAAAAAAAAAAGTGGGGTATTTGATCAAAGATTTCTTGTTATTATGCCTTGTTTAGCCCTAAGGCACACTGCAGAGATACATTTTGAACTCTGCCTAACATATTGTTATGAGCTTGTGGGTACCGGACTCCCCTAAATTTCTGGGTCCAGAAAATGTTGATTTCTCTCACCTTCGATTCCATATCATAATTGCAGAGCCCCTCTAAGAAGCTCAAATCCTATATATGACTGACAACCTTCTTTGGAAATTAAACCCATGTTCAGACATTTACCTGCAGAAACTTATAGATGAATTAAAATATAATATTTACAGTCACTTTCTTCTCCAAGCATGGGTTTTCAGTCTCTGCTTCTAACTTCCAAACAACTGTATTTTCCTTTCTTTCCAGAGCTCGCCCCTCAGCCTTCTGTATCTCAGTTAGGCTATGCATTGCAGCTCCTATGGTAGATTTCCACTTTTACCTTCTCATGCATCCTTGCTGTCTTTCAAGCAGAGAACAAGACCTCCAACACTCTATTCACTGTGTTCACAGCGGATTCTAAAACACAGCCATCTTGCTTCACATAAAATGGAATCTCTCCTTCACCTCCCATGTGACCAGTGGTAGCCGATTACATGAGAACAACTAGAAAACTCTTTAGAATTCAGATCCCAACCAATCATATTTAAACACATAGCAATGCATACAATCAATTACAATTTCAGTGAATTAAAGTACTATACCTAACAAGGCCAGCATAGCCAATGGTCAGGAATGGTGGGAGCTGTACTCCAGCTACATCTGTAGGACAACAGGTTCTCTACCCTGGTCTATAGATTCACAACTTGACATGCTGGCCAATATGGAGTTATGCTTTTATGTCATCATGCATGCTTCTGATACTCTAATATAAAAAACATTTCCCAACAAATGAGACCTTGCATTTAAGGTGTGCATAAATGTGGGATGTAGTTTTATATTTAAAAAATTTCAAGCATTTACTATGCATTATTATTTTCAAAACTCATCTGTAATTTACATTCTTTCCTCCACCGAGATGCTGCAAATGATAATAATTTAGCAGTTGATTTGAGATTTTATACATATATGCATGCAGGGAAGTACACTCATTTTTAATCAGCTTTGTACTTAACGACACACTTCGCTCCAAGGACATTTGTTAAGTCTATTTAGCATGGGTGACAATATACAGGCTGCAGGTACCATCTGCAGCTTTCACGGCTGCAAAGAAAATCTTGCAAACCTGATTAATGAACATTTGACAGAAGAAGCATGCACTGAAACAGACACACCATTTCTCTGCAGCCTTATGGTTCTTCCAGGTGGCACATGAGCATCATCTTACCTGTGGGAACTTAGCATGCATCTGTGTTGCCCGCACTACAAGTGATATGAAGGTTTACAATCAGGATGGTGCAGGTTTAAGGCCTTCCAGAAGGTGAGTAACAAGATTAGACAAGATCCGGTTTCCTTCTTCTTAGTAAATGATATTTAAGTTTGGAAAAGAGGGAGGGAGAGTCTTGAGACTCTTTGAAAACCATCTTATTCCCCTTAAGATACTAACTTTCCTAATATAAGATGAGCACGGCTTTGGGCTAGACCTACAGTCCTTTTCAGCTTCTGCCATTGTGTCCCTAACAAGAGGTTCAAACACAGAAATTGAGCACATTGAGCTTTTCTCATCACTTTCTCATTTGTAGGAAAAGCTTCAGATTTTAAATTTTTTAATTTCTGCGTGTCGGGTTGTTGGGAAAGGCAGGATTCTTCTCTGTGAAAATATGAGATATTGGTCCCCATTTTAAGTACTAGCCCTTTTCAGGTGTTCAGTGAAGATAATGGAAGCTTCTAGGACATAACAGATGACTTGTATCTTAAAGTTTAAAGTGTTTATACACTTATCACATGTATAAATTTTAAATTTACTGTTGTACATTGTTTGAAATGTTTGTTTTCCTTCTGGGATTGTACCCCCAAGTGTGTTTTATAAGCTGTCTCTGACCATAATAAATTATCTATCTAGATGACTTGTAGCCTTTTTATCCTCTTATAACTGTATTTAAATTTGACAATTCTCCTCCCCCCCCCCAAAAAAATTAACTTCCCAGAGAGAAATCTTGAGGATGTTTGTTCAGCTGTAAATAACACTGAATTCAATAGAACTTACATACATGAAATCGCCGCTTCAGTCTTCCATTGGTCCTGCACTTGAGACTGATCTTGTGATCCCACTGAAGTCAGAGTAGATAAAGAAATGATTCAAGTAAATGGGATACAAGTTATACAGATTCCAGCTGAGTGGCTCCCTGCAAGGATTAATGAGAAGCTTTTAAAAAGTACTTTATAGTATACCATCAAAAAGCTAGGAATTGTGGAGGAAAAATTGGGTAGGAAAAAAATGTATAAATTCCAGGTGGTATTCAACTTACTCATCGGCATGATTTCTGTTTGTACCATGGAATTTTCCCCTCTCCTCCCCGTGTGCACCCCTTAAATCAGTTCTGGGGGTTCCCCTCAACCATACAGAACAGATCTGAGGAGAGTGCAAGGTAACTGTAGTTTGTTAAGGGTCCTGAGAGTTCTTGGAAAACCAGACCCTCCAAGTGCCCCTATTTTCCAGGGACAGTTCTGGATTTACAGAAGCCATCCCAGTTTCTGATTTGATCCCGGAATGTCCCATGTTTTCTTAGTCCCTATTTTCATCGGAGAAATGTTGGCGGGTATGGGAGACCCTACTGTATTCCCCTCACAGAGCTTCAGTTCTCAGAGTGTTTAAACAGTCAATCTCCTCTTCCCAGTTCCCTGGATTCTTCGGAGGAAGCCAAGACTGTTTAAAGTACTATGATTCAGCTTTAAATGTATAGTACAGGCGAGACCAAAAATGCACAGATAACATGTTTTATTACTAGCACCAGGAGATATTCTGCTTTCAGTCTTCAACCATAGGGCAATGTGCAGCGCTGTCACTTCTGTATGGCTACAGCGGCAAAGTCCCTGGTGCCCTGACGAAAGCTAATGAAAATTTCAAGCTACAAAGCTCTTCTTTAGGCCTTGTGGAAAGTGATGGGTCTGTCAGAAACAGGATCATAAACAGGTGTAGCTAAGTAAACCCAGAGAGGGGGAATGAAAGATGCTCCCTCCGCAGCTGAAATAAACTAGCTTAAAAGCCAAGCTTTAGAAAATAAAAGAAAACCTCTGTTTATTTAAAATGAAGCCATCTTCTCCTGCACTCAGAACGTGTCTTCCCTGTGAAAGAAACGGCGAACGGCAGCAAAGTGAAAAACTTTCTGAAGGTCGGAAGGAAAGCCTTTCACATTAAACATTTAAAAGTCTGTCAGGCTTGAAGAGAAAACATACAAATATAGATGGCATTCTGTGTCATGCAGCATAAATGCCTCCAAACCGGAGACATTTAGTTATACCAATTGGACTCAAAAAGAAAGGGAAAAAGAAACCAGAGGTATAAGGAAGGAGAAGGGTTTAATTTTCATTCTGCTGATATGAAAGGGTTTAAATCTGAAATCCACATTAACAAGAAGAGTTAGGAATTTGAATTCCTAAGGCAGTGCTTTGAAATACTATCACACACACAAAATGTCAGGGACTCCGGTAGCTCCAGTAATTGATTTCGACTATTGGGGCTCATGTCTTTAATATATCACACTCAAAGGCCTAGTCTTGGTTTTGCTTGAGAAAAAGAAAAACAATCACTGTGTTATATAGTACAGGACAGTTGCAGTTTTCAGCAGGGAATAGCTCACAGAAGTTATACATCCTCATATTTTTAGAACTTTTACTTATGTGTCCATCAGAGAGGGAGCAACGAGTCATGCCCAGAGCAAGGAAGGTTTATCACTACACAAATTAAATCATGGATTATTGCACTACAAAACATTACTCTGCATACTCTGGATGTACAATGAAGATATAACAGTAGTGATAATGCCAGCCAAAGGAAGCGAAGGTGTTTGCTTCTCTTGTCTCCTTAAGAGATTAAAACAGAAGATAAGTTGTTTCCAAACCTCATGGGGCATCATATGCAATAGGAAAGCAACATTTATTTATAAATGTTTATTTAAAATTGGAAATGTTCATTGAAGAAGAAAAAAATTACACAATTTAAAAGGGTCTTCCAAAATATATCTAGAATGTCCACTCAGTATCATACTTCAAATTAGTTCTCACTGAAACAAAGGAATAGTAAACTTGAAAAATATGTATCTATGGGTTTGATACACCAATTGCAATATGAATCAGCTCCCAACATCTTCAAATTCTAGCATCCTTACAAATATACAAGTTGAGAAATTTGGAGAGCAAACAGGCACATGAAGAATTTATGCTTTTGCAGCAGTAATTCCCAAAAGAAACAACACGCCCCAGTCCCTCCTAAAGACAAATTTCTTGCTAGCCAGCTGCAAAAATAAAACGGTTTATGTTGTTGTGCAGAACGTTCACCTCCACCCTTCATTCGGATCAAGTCCAAAGCTCTTTCGGCTTTTTTCCTTCCATCCAGGCAGGCAGGTGGGTATGCCATCCCCAACTAGCCTTGATTGTAATTGATTATTGACTGTTTGTGAACATATGAAATTCAAATGCTTCATCACTTAAATGCTGGCGCTTTCCATAAATAAGAGCCGTGTGTCACAAAATATGGATTAGCATAGCCACGCCAAATTAAGGAGAGAGGCTAAACGACAGAAATCTGGGATTAGGTGAAACTAGAAACACTGCTGTCCTTGACTGTGATTTTAAGTAAATGTTGCCCTTTGGTCATTCATCAAAGATGATTAACTTCAGAGTCACTGGCCCATGAAAATACAGGCAATTTAATAGTTTAAATTGATAGTTTAAGAACAAGATTTTCCCCCCTTCCAACCTTCTTTGTTGTTTGCTCATCAGTGGCAATCACTGGTTCCATGGTGGAAAGGGATGCTAATCTTTTCTCTATTCTGCACAGCCTTCAACAACAACAACAACAACAATTTATTATTTATACCCCACCTATCTGGCTGGGTTTCCCCAGTCACTCTGGGCGGCTCCCAACAGAATATTAAAAACATGATAAAACATCAAACATTTAAAACATCCCTAAACAGGGTTGCCTTCAGGTGTCTTCTAAAAGTCAGATAGTTGTTTATTTCCTTGACATTTGATGGGAGGGCATTTCACAGGGCGGGTACCAATACCGAGAAGGCCCTCTACCTGGTTAAATAAATCAGATCCCTTGTAACCAGAATGTTCTAATATACATTTTGTATCAGTCTTCATGACCTGGTAATCATTCCTAATTCTCTTTTATTGGATTCTTAATATGTACAGCCCTTCCAAAGAGCTCGATACACCATACAGATTCCCTCCACATATTGTTTTATCTTACAATGAACCCTGTGAGGTAGGTTGGGTTGACAGATGATGGTGGTCAAATCATCTTCATAAGTGTGTATGGATATTAACCTAGCCAGGCTAAAGATCATTCAGGACTTATGTGTGTACTCGCTTTGGTATTTTAATCTTGCCATGTCCTGAGAAGACTCTTAACTTGAAAATTTAAAAGGGTAAACACAAGATAGTTTAAGCGTAATGCAGATATAGATAGTCCACTTTGCAGGATAGATAGATAGTCCATCTATGGCTATAGATAGTCCACTTTGCAGAAATAACGCTCAAAAATCAGCTGAAAGATTGCTGAGAATGTGTGTCTCATTTAGCAACAGCCCCACTGTGTGGCCTATGTGAGGAAATGCTTCAGAAAATATAATAAATAAGGTATGATCCAACAGCCTGTAATGTTTTCAGACCCAGCTTTTAACCTCAACCCCAATGTAAGGCCCATTTTCACTATTTTACTCTGTAAAATTTTCACTATTTCATTTTCACTATTTCACTTTCTCCATCGCTGTCTAGAATGATCAGATGCAAAGACAAATAGGCCTCCTCCTGTATCTTTAGCAGTTGAGTTAAAAAAGGGATTTTGGCAGGTCCTTATACCTGAAATTTCTATTGAAAGTAACAGAACTTTGTCTATTGAAAGTAACAGAACTCTGTATATCATTTGCATCTATTTATCATTTTTATTTGTCTCTCTCTTTCTAAAAAGTATCTTTTGGCAGGGGCAGTTCTCCAGCATATCTATGTGTACTAAAATATATGTGCAAGGTAGAGTGTGCATTAAAATGCATATTTTTGAGAAAACAAGATACAGAATTGTATCACATTAAGGAAAATATAAATACTGAGGAAAATATGCTTTTAAAAATGCGTAAGGCAAAATTTCATCCACAGATACATGTCTCAGGAGAAATTCACACTAAAATGACTATGAATTTTCGTGATGGTTCGGAAATGTGGAGAACAGAATTTAAATTGGAAAACTGGGAAGCTGAAATTGACAGTCACCCATCTTCACGTCTTACACCATGTATTTTACACTGAGTTCCTGTTCTTTTCACACATCTGCAAACCTATTTATAAGCCTGTTGCTTCAAGGGAAGCAGTAGTGTTATTAGCATTAGTTTATTCATTAACATGGAGACAGACATGTTTTTATTTGCACGTCTCTCTGGTAGCAGCAGTACATCACGTCCATTTGCTCTCAGTGAACATTGCTGTGTTGTTTTTCAACATGTACCACTAGCCAGCCACTCACCTATGGTGGCTGTAATTACTTGGGGGGGGGGCAGCCTTAGCACCACCTCGTAAATAGTTAATTAATAATAATCCATTCCACCCCATTTGTTCCTGTGTGGATTTTTCAACAACGACAAAAATCCACACAGAAAATGGAAGAGAGTAAGCTTCACTTCAGTCCCATCCAAAACAGGGAGAGAACGGATTATTATGTGCTCATCCCTAGCTGAGGGTAAGAGAAAATACTGTAGTCTGCATGTGGCCACCTAGTGAACTGATGGGGACATTAAATGAGCTCTCATTACATATGTAATGTGTAGCACAAGTGACCTCTAGCAACCTGTAGAGTTGAGAATGCAATGAACATATGAAGCAATAGTTTAAATCCAGGACAGGAAAAAAAGGTGCCCAGGGCACATAACCCTTGAATATGTGCAAATATAATTCACCTGCTAGCATGACAAAATTGGACCTAGAAGGTCAATAATAATACTTTGTGTTTTGGAATCTCGCCAAGGAGCCTTTGATGCTGTTTGCTAAAAGTAACAACAAAACATAACACTAGCAATGGGGGGGGGGGAGTGGCGTGCCAAGTTTAAATACAGAAATGTCCCAGCTTCAACTATAGCAGGTCACAAAAATAAGTTGCGATGTTCCCGTGTGAAAAACAGCAGTGTCGGGAATCTAGACAGGAGCAAGCATATCAACAAGAGAGCTTGTTTCTCCTTCTCTCCTTTCTCAAGAAGCAGAAATCAACCAAGGGTTGAAACAACAAATAATCTGGAGCCACTTCACACTTATATTACAACTGACAGTGCAATTAAATCTGTGCAATTAACTGCACAATTGAAAAGCCAATTAAAGCTGATTTTCTTTATATAAAAAAAAATCCAAACCACAAACATCCTGTTCTGTTAAGAGACAAATCACTTAAAATTCCTTTGTTAGTATCCTGTAAAAGAGGATCTCTTTTTACTATGCAATCAACTTGAGTGCCAGTCCAGAAATCAGAGCAATAAGGTGAAGGCTTTGTGATTTCAGCAATAGCATCCATTTCTCCACACAGTTCACCAAAATCATGTGTAGGCCCAGTATACCTGAAGGAGCGTCTCCACCCCCATCACTGTACCCAGACACTGAGGTCCAGCGCCAAGGGCCTTCTGGTGGTTCCCTCACTGCGAGAACCCAAGTTACAGGGAACCAGGCACAGGGCCTTCTCGGTAGTGGCACCCACCCTGTGGAATGCTCTCCCACCAGATGTCAAAGAGAACAACAACTACCAGACTTTTAGAAGACATCTGAAGGCAGCCCTGTTTAGGAAAGCTTTTAATATTTCATGAATTAGTGTATTTTAATGTTTTGATGGAAGCTGCCCAGAGTGGCTGGGGAAGCCCAGCCAGATGGGTGGGGTATAAATAAATTATTATTATTATTATTATTATTATTAGCAGCAGCAGCAACAGTGGCGGCTGGTCCCCATTCTGACAGGTAGGGTGGGGGCAGGGAGTCCAAACAGTAGGTGGAATCAGGGGCAATGACAGGGAGAGCCAACTAATTCTACCCTCCTCCGTGCTGAGCTCTACAAGGGCAACACTGATACTAAAGAATAAACTGTCCCAGACTCTGCATTCATCATCTGAGATTCTTCTCCACATGCCACCTCCATGTGAGGTCTGGAGGGTGGCAACACGAGAATGTGCCTTTTCTGTAGTGGCTCCCTGTTTGTGGGATGCTCCCCCCAGGGAGTTTCACCAGGCACCTTCATTATATATTTTTAGCCGCCAGGCAAAAATGTTCCTCTTCAACCAGCCTTTTAAATGTATCTGTGGGAAGGGGGTAATTATTGTTTCAGTGTAATTATTTGCTTGTGTTTTATCTTGTTTATTTTGTTCTGTGAAACACCCTGGGATCTCTTGATGAAGGATGGTATATAAATTTAACAGATAAATAAAGGAAGGAAGGAAGGAGGCAGGCAGGCAAGGTCTGTCTGAGGACTGACGGAGGCTAGGGCAACAGTGTCCCATTTCACTGAAGGACTATTCACCACTGGTAAATAACTTCCCATGGTAAACGGTGGGATTGTAGAATTGACCCACTATGCATTCTGTCAAAGCGCATTCTTGAAATGTTTGTTAAGCAAGAGAGATCAAGTGTCACTACCCGCAATAATTGGATAGGATATCACTCAAGGCCTCAGGGAACTGTAGAGTTGGAAGGGGCCCTAGAGGGTCATCTCAACTGGAGCATCCATGGCGTAAGATAAATTCAAAAGATCCTCAAAAGATTGAGTTAAAGCACTGGCACATATCATTCAGGAAGAAGCCTTTTTATGCTGTGCTGTACAACAAAGTGTGTTGCCTAGGTTCTTTTAACAACTGCCTATACCGAGTAGTGAATTGTTTTGCTTTCTAGTTCCTTCCCAGGTGTTTTACAACAGGATATTTTCACAATGGTTTAGTCTAAACCAGGAAAGGGGAACCTCAGGTTGGTGTGTGTGCAGGGCTGTCTTAAGCATACGCAGCGCCGGGGTGCAAAGATCTGCCCAGCGCCCCCCCCCCCAGGTTGCCCAGTCCCAGGCACGCAGGAGGGCAGAGCCAGCCAGTTGCCTCAGCATCTCGCTGGTTCGGTCACCCCTGAACTCGCGGTGCAGAGCTGCTTGCAGAAGAAGAGCCCACCTCAGCGCTCTGACCGAAAGACGGGCTCTTCTCTGGACTCAACTCTCAGGCCCCGGACTCTCGGCCTGGCGCCCCTGAGAGCCCAGCGCCTGGGTGCCCCGCACCCCTAGTACCTATGGGTAAGAAGGCCCTGTGTGTGTGTGTGTGTGTGTGTGTGTGAGAGAATTTGAACCTCAAAATCCATCCTCCTGAGTCACACCCCTCACCACCAGCCCTGTTCATCACCCTCCCTGAGGGGCTTTTGTCTGACTGGAATGTGCCCTTGAACTCTTTCCCTCAATGGAGGTAGAACAGGTACAAAAGTGCAAAGAAACTAGACTATTGCTCTTCTCACTTTGCCTCTGGCCTCGGCCCCACTGACCCATGGCCCTCAAAAGGTTGTCCATAAAGGACTGTGACCACTGGACTGAAAACTTTTCCCCGCCCCGGGCCTAAACCTCTAATCAGGGCGGAACTAGTGGAAACTTTCCCAGAATGCCTTGCTCTGAGGAAGGACCCCCACCCATTTTAAGCCAAGGAGGGCTGAGAGGATGAAGTGTGAGAACTGTGGTGGGACCTATGCAGTGTGCACTCTGGGGAGTTCTGCAGTAAGGTATGCAGATGAGTGGCCAGTGAGTGCAATTGACCCCAGGCCCTGCATTGCCATGCTAATCCCCTGCACACAGATATGCAACGTAAGTGCTCCAACTTAAATCTAAACCAATTCCTTCCACTCAAAATACAGTGGTGCCCCACAAGACGAATGCCTCACAAGACGAAAAACTCGCTAGACAAAAGGGTTTTGCGTTTTTTGAGTCGTTCCGCAAGACGAATTTCCCTATGGGCTTGCTTTGCAAGACGAAACGTCTTGCGAGTTCTTGCGAGTTTGTTTCCTTTTTCTTAAAGCCGCTAAGCTGTTAATAGCCGCTAAGCCGTTAATAGCCGCTAAGCCGCTAATAGCCGCTAATAGCCGTGCTTCGCAAGACGAAAAAACCGCAAGACGAAGAGACTCGCGGAATGGATTAATTTCGTCTTGCGAGGCACCACTGTATATTGCATTTCACAAGATGACTGCGCTTTTCATTTTCAAGGGGCAGCATTGCAAAGCCAAAGAATTACAGTTAGCAGTGATCCTCTTTAAACAAACAAACAAACAAACCTATCTGGTTTCCCCACTATCGCTAGCAAAAAAAATTGCTTTGTTTTCAATGCACAAGTCAAAAGCACATCGGTGAGTCATTTGTGTGGGCGGGGTTCACACATTCCCCGTGTTTCAGGAACTAAACCTCTAAAGGAGAAATGCATCTTTGGGTCTTGAGCCAAGAGTCGTAAGGTCTCTGCATAAACAGCCAGACCTTGCTAGCATGGGGAATTAGCAGCAAGATGAGTAGTAATCAAATAACTTGCTTGTGACAGAAATAGAAAAATCAATTGATTGCACAGAGTATGCTCTGATTGGGCTTACAACAATTTGGTTGAATCTATAGAGGGGATCAGGACAGATAGGACAAGAAGGATTAGCATGCCGGTACTATAATGAGGATGGAGAGGTGGTGGCAGTGTCTTGTGGGAACAGATTTTTGTCTCCACCTTAGCAGTGTTCAGAGTGAAGTGAATCACAGCAATGACAAGAAAATGCCTACTAGGGGTGGTGAAGGTTGCAAGATCTGCTTCCAGTTCCTAACACTTAACAGACCATTAACAGTCATTAAAAATATACCTTATATATCTACATTTTATGGGGCTAAACCCAGGGCAGCTTCCAACAATCAACTTAGGGTAGACATTACCAATGCACAACATGGTCCGCTATCTAGCCAAACCCAATAAATGCACACCTGACTATGAGACATGACATTAACTCAGCATGTGTGAAGCAAGACAAACTAGTTCGAAACTAGTTGCAAAGTGTTGGTGCTGACCTTTAAAGCCCTAAACAGCCTTGGCCCAGTATACCTGAAGGAGTGTTTTCCACCCTCCATCGTTCAGCCCAGACACTGAGGTCCTCCTCAGAGGGTCTTCTGCTGATTCCCTCACTGCGAGAAGCTAAGTTACAGGGCACCAGACAGAGAACCTTCTCGGTAGTGGCCCACTCCCTATGGAACACCCTCCTTTCAAATGTCAATGATATAAAAAACTATACAACTTTTAGAAGACATCTGAAGGCAGCCCTGTTTCAGGAAGTTTTTAAGGTTTTATGTTTTTATATACAGTATGCTGTAAGCTGCCCAGAGTGCCTAGGGAAACCCCGCCAGATGGGCAAGGCAAGGAGAAGGAGAAGGAGAAGGAGAAGGAGAAGGAGAAGTCAGTCATGAGCTTGGCTTGGCAAAGTTGACAAACTGGACTGTAGAATGGATAAACATTTAAATTCCACTTAATCATCTGAAAGGATCTGAATAAACAAATGCCAATGTTGTCCATTAGGTGGCAGCCTAATTCCATTTTCAGGCACCTCTAAATCAGCCGGGTACAGCTTTAGGTTTGTTCCAATCTGCTTTTATAGCACCTGTTCCTTAGCAAATACTCAGCCGATGACGACCGCACAGTCTAGTAAAAAACATTGCATGAGCCTCCGGCCTTCAAGTGGTGCTTCAAAGAATGAACTGTTTCAGGGGAACTGCATGTTTTCAGCTGCTTTGTTACACAAGGGAGTTACGCTTTGCTCTATCAATGGGTGGCCAGATACAAAGTAAAAAACAAAGCATAACAAAACAAAACAAAGCACCTTACAGGGCTCCTGCACATTTAACAGTTGTGTAAAAGGAGGGGACTTCAGCCTGTGTAGCCAAAATGCTGCTGCAATTTCATGGCTACATAATGGTGGTCACTACCAATGAAATTTCAAAATAATAATCATTTGTTCTATTCTTATTATTCTTGAGGCATTAATCACCTTACAAGCCACAATCTCAAGGTGATTTATGAGGAAGCTGACTACAGGCAGGCTCAATTTTCTGGTCATCAGAGGTGAATGAAAGCTTTGCAATTGGCTGATCATTCAGCAAACCAGATTTTCAACACCATCCTGGGACGGTGGCCGCAGAGCTCTGGGACATCCTAAAGTGTACAGTGGTACCTCTAGATGCAAACGGGATCCGTTCCGGAGCCCCGTTTACATCTAGAAGCAAATGTAACCTGTGTCCACGAGTCTGCACATGTGCAGGTCACGTTTCAGCGCTTCTGCACATGCGCGTGATGTCATTTTGAGCATCTGCACATGCGCAAGCGGCGAAACCCGGAAGTAACGCACTCCATTACTTCCGGGCTGCCACGGAGTGCAACTCGAACGCGCTCATCCCAAAGCACATTCAACCCGAGGTATGACTGTACATGAACTTGGACAAAGATACCAAAATGGGAACATGTGGCGACAGTGGATTCCAGTGTAAGCCACAGCACTATCACTGAAAATTGGCTTTATTATACTATAATATTAAATATATACATTTTTTTAAAAAACCTACAGAAGACAACTGAAGGCAGTTCTGAATAGTGAAATTTTTAATGTTTAGTGTTTTATTATGTTTTTATGTATGCTGGAAGTTGCCCAGAGTTGCTGGTGCAACACAGTCAGCCAGGTGGGGTATTATTATTATTATATCAAATTTAATCTAATACAGTCTCCACAGTTTGTGAAATTGGTGGGAGAAATTTGCTACTTCACTTACGTAACAAAAGAAGGGGACTGGGTATCTCTCTTTATAACACCTTTCGATACCCTAAATAGAAGCCTTTTTCATAGGGGAAAGGGGGGACTTTTGATATATTGGATGCAAGATTTTGGCACAGCCCTAACTACTAATTGCAACTACGGCTTGTGCTGGAACAAAGCTGTGTTAAACAGCATTACCTTGTTAGAGCATGGCTAGAACTAGAAAACTATTAGTTGTGTAATCATCTGATTACTTTGTCCAGATGAGCCTCTAATCATTGGCATAATGAGGTTTTCAGTATGCAGGTTTCTAATGGGCTCTGTGTCATATTTTATGACTCAAAGAAGGTGGAATTTGCATACCCCAAGCCATGTTTGGAAAGAGAAAAAAGAAACTTGGAGGTAAGAGTGTTGCAGTGATTCCAATATGCCCAGTTAAGGAGAAATGTTAGTAACAACTCACATGAGATGGGCCGGTTACAATTTCTGAATTGACTGCATTTGAAAGTGTAGTTTATCTCAAGTCTAGCTATAATTGTTATCATCAGATATGAGAAAGTAAGCATTTTAAGTAGAGCTATGAAATTATACTTCCGCTCCTAACCGTGTCTAGCGAACAATTTGTATCAAAGATCCTGCATTCGATTGTGCATAATCAATATGCAATGTTTTATCGTCGAGGTTTTAACACTTCTATAACACTTTGTGAATTAAGTGTGCAATTATAGAAAGGAAGGATCTGTCACTTCCAAACCCCTACCAGTGCAAAAGGTAAGATTGCCTCTCTCTCTCACACACACACATACCCAAGGGGTGCCAACTTTAATAAAATATTGGCGGGCCCAAGTAAACCCCACTCTACATAATCAACCACACAATGTGTTGCACACACACCATTTCAATGGCAATGATAAGCAACGGGGGGGGGGGCTCAAATATTTTATTGGGGGAGCAAAGGGACCTAAGGAGCTGGCTCCTATGCACCCCATTTTGGTTATTTTTTGCAAAAAGACCAAAAACCCTCAATTTGTTCCAATGGAAATTAGTTGTGCCAGCTCCGGACTGGTATGAATGACACCCCCGCCCCCCAATTCTTGGTCCGCCAAGAGCTGAATCTGGTGTGTATCCTTCACTTGTCATGCTGCACTACCACTTGACAGGGATAGCCTAGCTTCCATTGTTTATGCTCTGGTTGTTGGCATCAGTCCATCTGGAGAGACGATGGAGTGTGCCTCCAGGGGAGAAGTCAAACTGCGTAGTGACCTCCCCGAGACACAAGCCTGGGCAGTATGTATGGAGGTCTGAAGCTCTCACAAAAACCAACAGGACAGGAATAGCTAGCATTTCTACCTTAGCAGTCCTGTTGCTTTTAGTATCTGTGTAGGAGATGGAAATTCACCAAGTGCAGATTGTCATGCCAGAGGTTCAGTGGTTTGAGAAACTGCACATACCAAAATTCTCACTGCTACACAATGTTAAAAGTTGAGTGCATGTTGGAAAGGTGTCAATTCTGCCAGAGAGAATACGTTTAAATCAAGACTTGCGATAGGAGAAAAATATGATATCAAAAGAAGCCAGCTGGCTGAAAAATGGCAGCAAAAAAAATGCATACATGTTTTATCTCTGCTAAAGTGACTCCAGTAATTTTCCAGTAATTCTTATTTTCATATATACAGTATCATAGCTATATAGATATGCACAGTATTCATTTTGTCCCTTATGTCATTTAGTCATTCTTTCCAACTTTATTCTGCGTAAATTCTTCAACCCAAGCACACCCAAACATAGGAAATTTTTAAAGTCCCATTAATCTCACTGGAAGGGATTTGAGTGCATGCTTGACACACCCACTAAAATCAATGGAACCCAAAAGTCTTTAACTTGGGTTGTCTCAAGGTAGCCAAAACAGTTTGCTTATATGTTCATCCTCAACACTGATTAACTTCTTCACTGGAATTCGGGCCTGAATGGCCAAGGAAAAGTGCAGGTGCCTGGAAGGTTTCTTTTAATCAAGCACAATTTGTAACAATCACCACAACTTCACAGAGCACATCTGTTAAAGCATCATCCTTCAGATTCCACTTTCCTGGGATTGAGGAGCCAACATGAGACAGCCTCATATTTGATCTTAAAATGACAGGATGAATTTGAAGTTTGGCCTGAAGCCTAATAAAAATGTTCATATTAAACTATTAGCCATAGTGGCATCTCATTGCTGGCAGTAAAGAGAGAGAGGGAGAGACTTTAAATCCCATGCTTTGGTCAAGATCTGGGAGCCACCTCCAAAACCTAGGAGCTAGGACCAATAATTGACAAGAGGTATATTGCCCCCAATATAATCCAGTCTCTCTCTCTGAATCGGTTAAAAAATCAAGATCTCATACCTCTATTTTGCACACACACACACACACACACACACACTTTCTTTGGCACCATTACTATATTACACTTTTCACAACTTTCCCTTACCACCCCTTTTTTTCCATCCAAGCAAACAATACAGTATCAGAGAAAATGATAATCTGATCTCATCCACCATTTAAGATTGTCACCAATGTGCCCCCCACCATGGAGTTTCCTGAAGTCCTTAACAATCCCTGATGCCATCAGGACACTTATGCTCAGCAGAAGGAGCTTCGCAGCATTGGGGGCCTCATTCCGAAGGCCCCAGAGCAGGCAGTGGAAATGTTCATGTTAGTGACACCCATTTCAGTTCATGTTAGTGACACCCATTTTAAAACCAGCAGATCCACAGAGTGCAACGAGGAAAGATATTTTGAGTCATAGGTAAAATTCTTGGAAGTGTGTGAATAATAATAATAATAATAATTTATTATTTATACCCCGCCCATGTGGCTGGGTTTCCCCAGCCACTCTGGGCGGCTTCCAACACGGTATTAAAATGAAGTAATGCATCAAACATTAAAAGCTTACCTAAACAATAGAAGAATAAAGAAAGAGCCATGTAAAGAGAAGTTAAGGCTAACAACACATGTCCTTATCCTCATTTTCTTCCAGGACTGCCTGAAAAGTTGTATGGACGATCATGCCGCAAAAGTCTGAGCCAAATTCTGGCTTCACGAAGCTGAAGAGGACAATGTTAGACTCTGCCTCCTCTGAGTCTTCCTTGTCCCATTATCCCTCCTGCCTGCAATTCCCCACACTGAGCTTATCCCGGAGTTCTTCCCCCAACACCACAACCCCATCCGTTAAAAAGACACAATTCACCTCAACTGCAGAAGGGCTTCCAGGGCCAAGACAAGGATCATGGGGTACTCTCCAAATTGGCCCAGTTTCCCCAGGAGAACAGAGGAGAAATGTTCTCTAGGACAGAAAATGGGAATGCAGGGAGTGTGGAGAAACTGAGCTCTTCAGGAGTGAAATGACTTGCCAAGATGATTTCAAGGGAGCAAAGGCTGTGAAGGAGACCCTCACCCCAGGAGACAAAGAGAAGGGGAAGAAATCCTACTGACACTCTGAACATGCTGTCCAGAGAAGTCCCCCCTCCTATCTATACTACCTAACTAGCTAAAATGCCCACCCATACCTAACTTCAATCCCAGCCCTAAGCCTACACCTAACCCTAACTATCCCTCTATATGCATAATATATACACAATGAATATATACAAAGTATATAAAATATGCACAATTATGCACAAAAATAAAAACGTAAACATAAAAAAAGAATAAAAAAATACAATATTAAAGTAAAGAGCAACAGATATTAAAACAAAATAAAGAATATTTAAAAATTAAAATAAAAAAAATCAAATAAAAGTCAAAGTAATCAAAAAGCAAAAAAGCAAATAATAATCAATAGCATCTCCTGAACCTCTTTTCATGAACTCCAACCATCCCTCTGCTCACTAACCCACAATGGACCCCTGCACTTGGTAGCTTTTAAGAGAGAAGCAAGAGATGTCACAAAGGAGGGCAAATCATTCCTACCATGGCAACCCACCCACCTTGACCCTGGGCCTACTTTGCTCCTCCTGAGCTGTGATGCTTCTTCAGAACTTTGAGGCACCTTCTGTTCTATCTGCAGGTTTGCTGAATCTTCTCTTACCTCCAGTCCCCAACTCTAACCACGCCTCTCTCCTCTGACCTCTCCTGACTAACCCACAATGGTCTCCTGCAGTTGGTGGCTTTTAAGGGGGAAGCAAGAGATGTCACAAAGGAGGGCAAGTCTTTGCTACCATAGTAACCCACCCACTTTGATCTTAGGCCTACCTTGCCCCTCCAGAGCTGTGATGTTTCTTCAGAACTTGGGGGCACCTGCTGTTCCATCTGCAGGTTTGCTGAATCTTCTCAAACCTCCTTTCACCAACTCTAACCACTCCTTTCTCCTCTGACCTCTCCTCCCTAACCCACAGTGGGCCCCTGCACTTGGTGGCTTTTAAGAGAGAAGCGAGAGATGTCACAAAGGAGGGCAAATCTTTGCTACCGTGGCAACCCACCCACTTTGACCCTGGGCCAACCTTGCCCCTCCTGAGTTGTGATGTTTCTTCAGAACTTGGAGGCACATTGCTGTTCCATCTTCAGGTTTGCTGAATCTTCTCTCTTCAGGTTCCCGTCTTCATTTCAGCTCATTCTTCATTCAGCCACTTTTCTAAAGGGAAACCATTCTCATGTCCTTTGAAATATAGTAGAAGACTCCCAGGTCTAGGGGTGTTCATAGCACAGGATTCGACAAGCTGCTATGCATGCAGGTGTTCAAGCTTGGACAGCAACTCCAGGTGGCACTGGTGATGTCCACTCCCCCATCTGAAAATGCACAGGAAAACTATTTATGTATGTGACTTCTTCAATGAAAGTATTATATGCCCCAATATGGTGTGAGGAGGCAGTACTCACGAAGGAGGAGTGGCAGTTGAAATTGATGGAAAATGCAGAATTAGTAAGTTTAACTAGTAAAATCGGAGAACAAAATGAAACAGTTTTCAAAGAGGAATGGAAAATGTTTCTGGACTATTTAAAAAATGATTGTAAATCTGTAAGCACGCTCAGAGGTTTGGACTAAGTTCAGAAGTAAAAGTTATTGTGAGAATAAAATTGAGATAAGAAGGTATAGATTCGTTATAATATGCAGCAGTAAAAGATAATCATGAGAAAACCATGGAAGGGTGTCAGGGAAGTCAACTTTTTAAATGAATATGTACTGGGAAATGTTGGATCAATTGTATTTTATTTGTGAAAATTTATGAGTATTTTTTTGAAAAAAGGAAGGAGAGCTACTGCCGGTCATTTTAGATGGTGCTGAGATAGATGGGTCAATGGTCTGACTCTGTCCAAGGCAGCTTCCTATGAATATTCCCCTTAAGTAATTTAGTTGAAGACGAGGAAGTTAACCACAAGACTGACAGTTCCTTTTTTTAACAGACAATATGAAAAAATTTCTGTTTTATATACAACAATGTAAGTACAAAAATCCTGAATAGGAGGAGGCGGCAAAATTCCTGCCTCTGTAATAAAGCCATATAGGCAAAGTGACCTGTCCCGATAGACTAGATGACACTTGAGGTCCCTTCCAACTGTACAGTTCTATGATGTCAACTGCTCCAAAATTACAAAGGGGGAAATTTGAGTATCTGAAATTTGAGCATCTGAATGCAGCTGCACCTTATTCTGAGTTCCTGCACAAGCCTCTGTAGCCCCTGCCAGTCAGTGTCGACAACACACACAGCAAGGGGTATTCAGAGGTACCCCCGCACACACACCAAATATGGAAGCTCCCCATTTATTTTATTTATTTATTTATTTTTATTACATGTATAGATCACCTTTATCTTTCAAGGATCTCAAGGTGGTTGACATAGTTCTCCTCCTCCCCATTTCATCATCGCAACAGCACTGTGAGGGAGGTTAGGTTAAGAGATGGCGACTGGCCAGCAGCATAGCTAGGAAGAAGTGGAGGGAGTGGGCCATTTCAGGTGGCACTTTTTTGTGTGTGGCATCACCTCCACAGCAGATTTGGAAGTGAGCAAAAAGCACCCATTGCATTCAAAAGAAACGGGCGAGCCCTGAACATCACCACAGGAAAGGAGATCCCATCCCCACCCTCCACAGCTTCCTCTTTCCGCCCCATTTCAGAGGCAAAACAGTGGGCTGGTGCAGTGGATGTGCACCTAGGAAGTAAGGAGGGAGGGAGGGAGGGAGGGAGAGGGAGAGAGAGAGGGAGAGAGAAAGAGAGAATCTGTGAGCGCACACTTGGCCACGAGGGCTTGAGGGCGGGAACTCACAGAGGGGCGACTGTTCTCCCAGAAAGTGGGGTTGTGGGTGCTGTTATGGAAAGGCAGACTAGCAGGGGTGCCAACTTGGGCCCCAGACTGTAAGATATTGTATTTCCCTTTATGTTATGAATGGACAAGCATTAGCAAAAAAGTGTCTGGCTGGTTTCAGATCTTGTGTCTGTCATTCACCACAGCCAAGACAGATTCTGTGTAAAAGGTGTGAAATTCAGCCTTCAGGGTTTAAAATATAGTTTATTACTTTACGGTATTGTTGCTGAGTGGGCAAATTTAAGTTGTATGTCTTTCTAGTGCCTTACTCCATTATTGTTAAATGGGCAATCCCATAGAATACAGTAAATCACTATTGTTTCTCTTCAGCGCCATGTAGTGGTAATAAGTCAGTGACCTGTAGTTGCAAGTCATAGACCTTGCCCCTTCCCAAAAACCTATTCCTGTGGACTGTCATAGTCTAGGAGAGCAACAGTGGACTGTGTTGGTGGAGCTATAGTAAAGGAGGAAATAAATCTCTTTCACAGGGACAGAGAACCTGTGACCCTTTTTATGCTTTAAGCATAAACCCTTTAAGCAACTTCTAACTGCTTTGTTCCCAATCAGTAGATAACCCACAAACTTCTGCTGGAATCCCACAACTTTTTACATCACAAATGTTCTGGTTTGTGTTTGTCCCACCTCTGTTGCGCTATAATCCCTCCAGAGAGCAATATAGTGTCATAGCATTGGGGAAGCTTTGCGGAACAAACTAAAGCAATTCACCACTCACAAATGATGATTGTGTCCAGAGCATATTGCAAAATACACCTGCAAAAAACACAGCAGTCTATAGTGCCCTTTCTATCAGTTCGGGTATGACTGCTATGTAAAGCCATCTGTCCAACTCATGCGCCCTTTGCAAGAAGACTGGATTGAAAATATGGGTGAAATAATTTTTCAGAAGTTAATCCCTTTGAATTCAGTGAGGCTTGCTCCTAGATAAATGGGTCAGGATTGCTGCCTTTACCTCTTCACTGCACTACAGCAATGTTCCTCCAAGGCATACAAACTTCTCCCACAACAACCCTGTGAGGTTGGTTAGGCTAAGTAAGAGACAGTAACTGGCCCAAGGTCACCCAGTGACCATCTTGGTGGAGATTTTAATCCTGGTCTCTCAGACCCAAGGCCAACGCTCTAACAGCTACACCACACTGGCTACTAAAACTCCATGCCCTCACCCCACCCCCAACATCCAGTTAGGAAAAGGGCAAGCAGAAGAACTTACTCAGTTTTAATGACCTGGAAAAAGACAGAGCAGGTTCTTGGCCAGGATGGTTCAGTCCATGGAGGGCATCTGGCATGGGTATTTTTCTCAATGGACTGCATGACCTGCAATGCAGAGAAGAGTTCAGAACAGGTCATTCCTCCAAAAAAAGGGGGGAGGGGGAAAATAGTATCCTGGTCCAACTGTATAAAGGAGGATTGGCTCCTAGAACTTCCGTGCACTTTTGCAATAGACTACTTGTTCATTTTCCATTAAATAAGCATTAAATAAGGCTGACTGAAAAATAATAATTAAAAAAGGCTGAAGCAACATCAAGAGTTTTGCTCTCCAGACTGAGCCCTGCAGAAGGGAGCTTGGCATTGCTTAGTCAGAACAAGACACAGCCTTAGGAGCGCATACCTTCTGGAAGATCTCCAGGCTGCAGTTGGGGGCATGTTTCTTGATATCTTTGATCAGCTGGTGGAGATGGAGCCATTTCAAGAGCTTCTCCAGGATACATCATCTAGCAAGGAAACATAGACATATGGCATTTAGGGGTAGGTGAATCTCTGAAGTGTTGGTTTCTCTCGGTTCCTCATTTTTCTAAGAATTGTCAGCTGGCTACTCTGGGCGGCTAATGCTAAAGCAGCACCTGAAGCTGCCTGGGCAGCTTATCAACTGGCCAATGAACAGGGCTAGATAATAATTTGAGACTAGTTTACCTACAAAACCATCTTACCCCATATCTGCCCGCTCCACTGCTTTGATCGATGAAACTGGCACTGTTGTAAGTGCTACATAATACTTGTTTGGCACATACACACCATGTGCATTTACGTGTGCACACACACAGGTTGGCACCCATCTGAAGACTTCACTCAGAGCAAAAAAAGTGGCTAGCCCCCACGCCACCTTGTAGCTATGGCTCTGCTCTAAACCTCTTGTTGACTAGCTGAACATGCATGGATCTGTGTATATTAAAATAAATCACTTCATTTAGGATGGGGGGGGGGAGTTCCCCTCCTTTATCCCAGACCTCTGTTCTGTGCCATTAATAAGTGTGTAACAAGCAGAAACTCAGTAGATCAGGGGTAGCCAAAGAAGTGCTCACCCCCCATGCTTTGGACTAAAATGCTCATCTTCCCTGATTATTTACCATGCTACTTAAGGCCGATGGGAGTTGTAGTACACAACACCTGGACGGCACCACCTCTGTGGTGGAGCTCGGTTGGTATTGTTGTTGTTGTTTACTAAATTTATATACTGCCCTACATCAAAAAATCACAGGGCAGTTCACAGATTAAGAACATGAGACTCTTAATCTCAGGTAGTGGGTTCGAGCCACAGGTTGGGCCAAAGATTCCTGCATTGCAGGCGGTTGGACTAGATGACCCTGGCCCCTTGTGAGGCTTTCAAGGCATAGGAGCTGCGGAAAGAGGGTGGTTCGGGAAGGGCTCTGCATCTCACGTTTCAATGGCAGCTTCGCAACGCCCCTTCCCTTTGCAGGGTCTCCACCAGACGGCAGCGTTTTCCCCACCAACTCCTCCTCCCTGTAAACCGGAGATCACCCGGCAGCAGCTGCAGTTGAGGAGAGAGCTGCAGTTGCCTCAGAGGATACTTCCATCTCCTTGCTGGAACTGAGCAACGCAGAGGGTGGAGAGGAAACAATGAAACAGGGCAGCAGAAGGAAGCCACAGCGAGCGCTGCCGGGGAAACAGCTGCGCCTCTGCTCATGCAGGAGGAAAGGAAACCAAGTGCACGCAAAGCTTAAAGGAAACGAACAATGGACAGGACGTGGCAACCTACCCTTCTCCAACGACAGCCAGCAGGATTCCTGGCGCTTTACGCTGCAACCCTCATAAACACCTTTCTCTGGGAGTGAATCCTGCTGAACCAGTCAGGCTTTACTGCTAAGCAGACTTGTGGAGGATTGCGCTGCAAATACCAACAAAAAAAGTGCACAAGCCGCTGTAGGTACCTTGCAGCTCCAATGCAAAGTGAAGTTTGCTTTCCTTAAGAGTTTCTTTTGCTTTCTCCACCCCCGATTCCGATAACAGGGAAGGAGCCCAGGCAGAGCAAAGACAGATAGTGAGATGCAGATGGAGCAGAGGGATGCTTTTGCTTTTTGTCCTTAAGGAAGCTAGATCAAAGGAAGGCTGGTGCTGCATTTTTCAGTGCCTCAAGGAAGGCTTCTCTGAAAAGACTCAGAAATGACTTTGCTTTCTTGGGCTGAAAGCAGTGACTCTGCAGGGGAGTTCCATAAAAAAAACTTTCTCCTGTCTGCTCACCAAAGTATCCATAGCAGCCTCTCCGTACGGCCGGTGTATTGCTGTTCAAAAACTTTCTGAACTTTTTCTCAGCTTTGCAGGGCGTTTCCTATCTTTCAGTGTTTTCATTGCTATTCCCAACAGGCGCCCGTTTTTCAAACTGTCTTGACTGCTTGTTCCAGATTTCTCACTCTCTTCTTCTCGCTGTCTGCAAGGAGAAAGATTAGCTCACCATTTGAATCTCCGCACCTCTATGTTCGTTGCTGCCAAGGGAGAGCTGATTCTAACAAGACAAGCAGCTTAGCTGTGGCTGCTCTTGGAGTTTTGTTTTCTGCAAGCTATGCTTAATGCTCCTTATTACCTCCAGCACCCTTTCCAAAGGGATCATCAGCTGCAAGAACCGGGAGAAATATTCTTACCTGAACACCACATCCAGACCTGCCTCCGTAGCGTCTGAACACTTCACTTTCTAACCCCACTCTGCAAAACTCCTCCCTCCAAACAAAGTAACTTTAGAGTGACTCAAACACCATGCTTTTAAGTGGAAGTTTTACACCCATTTCCAAATAAAAGTAGCCTCACACCTTTTGAATATCTACATAGCCTCTGCCTTTCTTTCTTTCTTTCTTTCATTTATTTATCTGAAAGTTTTAAGCAGCCTTTCAAGACAAGACAGTCCTCTTGAGACAGATGGCATAAAATGAATCATATATATTATATATATAATTTAGTGAAAGGTTTTCACAGGAGCTTGAAAAGAACTGATTATCTTTTCATGGTAAAAACTGAAGTTCTGCACAAAATATTAAATAGCCTCAACCCCACACTTAAAAAAACAACACCTTAAGATATAATTCTGGAGAAATAGCTGTTGGGTTGTCCTTGGGTATGCATCATTAACTATAATTGGATTGTAGAAATATACTTTGGTTTTCAACTAAGGCTGAACCATCGGCATAGCTAAGATTTATTTTAGGGGGGCGGGCTTTAAGTTGGGGAGGGCAGAACTGAGTTATCTGCAATATAATGGGTCAGTTAGTTAAGCTCAGCAACTTTTTGCGGCAATCTCCCCTAAAAATAACTTTTTGCGCCCCGCTGATACCACTACAATGTCAAAACTGGCAAAAGAGGTTTCTTGCTATTGAGCATGTCTTTATTTTTAATAAACAATTAAATAATAAAAACAAATGTTGCCAATGTGTCATAGTGAGAATAGACTTATTGAAGTCTATTTATTTCAGTGGGTCTACACCTAGTATGACTAACAATGAATATCACCCATACTGGCTATTTATGTTATCAGTGTCTCTCTACATATTGCCCAGATCATGAGGCCAGCCTTTTAGGAAGGTGAAATCCCTTTAAAAAGGTTGACTATTCTAACAGTTACAGTATCAATATGTTATCATGCTTTCTCAAGATATGTTCCTCTAAATATGCCTAGTAACAATTTCTCTGTGTTCAAGAACTAAGCCGTTCTGTAACACGTTTGGGGAAATTTAACACAAATGGGATGATAGGAGAAAACTGCAACCCTGACCCTAAACCACCAGAGGACAGCCTGGTATCACTATGGTGAAGTCTTGACTTTCTAGTACTGTATATGAACCAAAACACCTAGTGTGGCTAGGCATTGTTTCATATAGGTATGACCTTACTCAGGGAGCAATGGAGGTAAGTCAGGGTCTTTCTAGAATGGCACTCCCTGAAATAGGATAGCAAGTAACTGTTCAATGAGGAGGCTTTTCTAGAACAGTCACTAGCTTTTTAATTCCTAATCTGAAAAAGCCTATACCTACCTTTCATCCCAATCTTTTTTTTTATCCTACGAGTCTTACATCCAAGTATGTCTTGCATCGGATTATTATGAATACACATGACCTATGCACAAGACTTATGCCAAAATATGCAGCAGTTCTCGTGTCTTAAAACAAATCTTGGGAATCTATTTCAATTTAACATTCGGATTTAAATATAGATTTTGCAAAATTGCCATGAAAATAAGTAGTTTTCACCAAGTCATATTTCACATCATAATTAATCTTTAGACCTTCAGCTTTTGCAGCCTTCAAATCAATTTAAGTAAATCTGTACTTGCAGCAAATTCATTAATTTTCAATCCTGTGCAAGTTTCATTTCCGCACTACTTAGACTGACAAATTCAGATATAATGCCAAAGTGGAAGTGTTATATTAAATCTGTATCGCTGACTGAATAATAATCATGTTTAGCAAAGAAAAGCAACATCTGTGAAACTCTGGAGCCACCAACTGTTCATATTCTGCAACAGCTAGTCTGCTTTCCCACTCAATAGTAGTAGATACAGCAAACGTTTAGATGTTAAGGCTGATGCCTTAACAGAGGTGCCTTGCGATCAGCAACAATGTCACAAACTGCTTTCTTAGAACTTATCCACTACAGTGGTACCTCAGGTTAAGTACTTAATTCGTTCCGGAGATCCGTACTTAACCTGAAACGGTTCTTAACCTGAAGCACCACTTTAGCTAATGGGGCCTCCTGCTGCCGCCGCGCTGCCGGAGCACAATTTCTGTTCTTATCCTGAAGCAAAGTTCTTAACCTGAAGCACTATTTCTGGGTTAGCGGAGTCTGTAACCTGAAGCATATGTAACCTGAGGTACCACTGCATGTGCCCACACTTTTCCTTAATCTTTCAGGTCAGGCCCAAATCCAGATGGAGAAAATTGGTATGTGGCCAGAGAGGATGTCCTATATTGCCCTGGTTCCCTGTTGCCTCTGACACATCTGGGTCTTTCCAAAGAAATCCTCTTGACCCATGCTTGTTTGTTGCTTACATCGGTAGCTGGAAGAATAGATCAAGGAGTGGAAGAGAGCCCTTTTCTATTACTCACTATCCTTATGCAGAGCCAAAGCTACGGGGGGGGGGGGGGGGGGCTAGCCGAACTTTTTGCCCCAGATGAAGCATCTAGAGGGGTACCATTGAGGCTCCCAGCCTGTGTGTGTATGCAAATGTGCATGGGGGGGCAAACTGGGTCTTTGACACGGGTGAAATAAAGCCTAGTTTCACCCCTGTCTAATGCCACTTCACCACAGAGGTGGCTTCTGTGTGGGCACTATAGTAAGACTGAATCACATCATCACTTCATCTGTAAGCCGCCTTTCCATAGTTCAAATCATGGTCAAAGTGGCTTACAACACTGAAAAGATCATAAGTGATAAATAAAACACATCAAAAACAGCTATAATTGATCTATTTGCACATAAATCATTATAAGATACAAAAATAAAGATACAAATATCAATAACAGCAACAAAAAAATTCCCAGCAAACCACCCTAAAAACCCCAGCCCACATGTTTTTCAGCAGTGTCAGCTTTTGCAGCCGGATTCACTTAGGGACCCACCCTTTCAGGACGGGTGGGAGAAAGTCAGCAAAGCAGGGAACAGGTATTCCAGAACTCACAGCCAAATGGTCTCTGACTTCTTTAGCAACCTCTGCTTTTGTAGCTAGAGTGAGTTCAAATGTCTTATTCTAGACTTAGAACTGCTACCTGAAAAGAAGAGAAAAATAATCGTTCACTACCATGTTGAATTTTCCACTGATTGGCATCTACAAAACATCTAGGGTTGTTTTGTAAACTCAGGTGACATAATGGAATGTGCCCACTGTCACCTACTTTTTCATTCGTTTGGTGGTCTGGAGGAAGACTTCAAGTTGATAGGCATTATACTATTTATCCAGTCCTGGAGTTTATATTAAGACAGCCCTAACCCTTTAAGAGCCACCACCAGATGGCCAAGGAAATGGAAATGTATTATCAATGGGGATTCAAAAGGACCCAGTCACATGTGTCACGAAGGCCTGTGTATTCACTTAGTGAGGCACAATTGTCTTGTTAGAGGCATGTGATTTTTCAGATTGCAATTTATTTGGCTGAGGCTTCCAACATAACAATTGCAGGTGACTTCTGGACCAGCACAAACAAGAGCTCACACAGTATATTCTCATTTTTAGAGATAGAACTGTGGGATTGGAGCTCAGCCACTCTTCCCTTTGGATCCTGACACCTTCTCCTGCTGCAGGAGCAGAGGTAGGGGAATATTTATCAAGTAAGTAAGGCCCTAAGTATATTCACAGCTCTAACAGTCCCCCACTCCCCTGTAAGACTAAATTATCTGTAACAGTTGAAGTGGATCGTAAGAGAATACTGGGAAGACACAAATTATTCTCATTACTGTCTGTATGTTGCATTTCTACAGTGAAAATGTAGTTAGCTTGAGATTTAGACATGCCTTGATGCCAACAGTTCATGCACACACTGAATCCCAAACGAAGTATTCTTCTATGGTACCAATCACTATGTGACACACACAGAGTGAGGAAAGGAGGAGGTACAGCAAAAATTCAGCCTTCCTGTGCATCATTTACTAGAGCAGCAATTTGTAAACACTCTGTGACATCAAGGCCACTCACCCAATGGCTAGGGAGGATTCAGATTTCACCACTTTCTTCAGGTTTTGTCCTCTCCGGTTTACTGCATTTATTGGCAAAAAAAGAAAAAATATATGAAAAGGTGTATTTTAAATTTTGTACTTCATGCATATACCAGCTTTCTGAATCACACCGACTGAATCCAGAAATAGAGGTAATCCAATAGCATGTCTTGTACTCAGTTTTCAGTTTGCAAATAAAGTGGTACCTCAGATTAAAAACTTAATTCGTTCTGGAGGTCCGTTCTTAACCTGAAACTGTTCTTAACCTGAGGTACCACTTTAGCTAATGGGGCCTCCGGCTGCTTCCGCATCTGTTCTCATCCTGAAGCAAAGTTCTTAACCCAACGTACTATTTCCAGGTTAGCCGAGTCTGTAACCTGAAGCGTCTGTAACCTGAGGTACCACTGTACAGCTATTCACATAATGGTATTCCAATCTGTGGCTGTGTTCAGTTTGTGATGTTACTGCCACAGCCCAATTTTCTAAGATCAGTTTGCCCTTGCTGCTTTCTGTGCATGTGTGACTACAGGTAGAGATTAAAGGGCCCTAATAAAAAAATCTAGCTGCTAATGACGACTGTATTACAAGTTGTTTTGCTTATTATGCAAGTGCTTAAACTCAGTTTATTCTCTACCAGGACACAACACACCATTACCATGAAGGAGGATTTGCTTTCCGTGGAAGTTGGTGCGCATTGGGCAGAAGGCAAGGAGCCCAACAGTAGGTGGCACTAGAACCAATGACAGGCAGAGCCAAGTGAAGGTAGTTTTTGCCCCCTCCTCCTTCCTCCTGAGTTCTAAGAAGACAAAACTGACACTGAGGAGTAGGAAACTGAATGTCAGTGCCATGCCCAAACTTAAATAAGGAGGCAGTCAGGTGGGAGCTGGCCGAGGGAATCTGGCGATACTGGAGCAGCACCCTATTTCCCCTCATGGACCACCTTCATTGTTTGCTTATGTATGTTAATGAAACCAATTTCAGCATCTTTATCAAGACAATATTGCATGTCTTTTTTAAATGCAGTCTACTATTTACATATGTAAAGCCTTCAATAAAATTGCTTTAAATCACAAGCCTAAGGTTGGCGATTATTCTGCTTAGTCACTGAACTGAGGTAGAACGTACTGATTTGGCTTGCAGGGCCGGACTAGAACGCTTGCTAATGGTACTTCCCTATTCTCAGATAAATAGCCGAAGCTCTGAAAGACCTTCTGGCTTTGGAACAATTTAGCAAAACCAACCGGGGGGGGGGGGGTGCAATGGCAGTATCTGGTTAATTCCTTTGAGAAGGGTACATTTCCCAACCAGCTTCCCTTGCAAGGAAGATACAGTGGTGCCTCGCAAGACGAAAAGAATCCGTTCTGGGAGTCTCTTCGTCTAGCGGTTTTTTCGTCTTGCGAAGCAAGCCCATTGATGGGATTAGCGGATTAGCGCTATTAGCGGCTTTTAGCGGCTTTTAGCAGCTTATCAGCTTATCGGATAAGCAGATAAGCGGCTTAGCGACTTAGAAAGAGGGGGAAAAGGGAAAAAAAAAAACCCAGGAACTCGCAAGACATTTTCGTCTTGCGAAGCAAGCCCATAGCAGATTCGTTTTGCGAGGCACCTCCAAAACGGAAAACTCTTTCATCTAGCGAGTTTTCCGTCTTGCGAGGCATTCGTCTTGCGGGGCACCACTGTAACTTAAGTGTCTTTTTTTGTTACAGCTCTTGCACGAGATAATTTTTCAGCTGCACTTTCTCTTCTCTCCACACCCCAACAAGGTAAGTTTGATTTTGTGGTTAAGAACTACAGGTTGGAATCTAAACTAAAAGCAATCTTCCTTGTTTTTATGTGTATTGTCACACGTAGGTTTTATGTAATTAGACCATTTAGAAATGTGGCACTATCCAAAAAAGTCACTAGCTCCACACATTCAATGGGATATTGGCACAGAATTCTTACTTAAGAGGAAGAATTGAATTTGGAATGCTTTATTGTAAACTTCTTGTATGCTTGTACAGTATAGCAAGTCTTAGGAGCGCAGATTCCCTCTGAGTGTGCTAACAGACTGGTCTGCAAAATCTATGTGCCCATTTCAGATAATAGTATTTGCAGAATGCCCTTCAGCTCCAGGTAGTTATACTATGGAGTGTTGCAAGGCACAATTTTATCTCCATTGTTTGTTTTTTTACATGCTGCTGCTAGCAGCATTAATTAGATTTAGGGCAGGGTGTCAACAGCATTCTCAGCTCTTTTCCCCCACATCTGAATCTGGAGAAACCCTTGAACGTAATGGCGAGATGGATGAGGGAAAATAAGCTGAACTAAAGTCCTTGGAAGACAGGTGTTGTAGGTTTCCATGTCTGGCATTTTGGCACACTGCCGGCCATGGATATCAAAATTCCCCTAAAGGAGCAGGCTTATAGACTGTGGTGGGCCACTCGTGTTTCGTTTTGCGACTGGAAGACTAGGTCACCTTGTTGGCTATGAGCGCCTTTTACCAGCTTTGGCTGGTACAGCAGCTGTAGCCATTTCTGGACTGGGAGAACTTGGATCATAGTAGCCCAGGAAGTAATTGCAAGAGAGGATTACTGAGGTGCACTCTACTAGTTAGTGTAGAATGCTGCAGCATGATTGCTGACAGAGTAAGACCGCCAGCATCTTAACACCCCTGCTCAGAGATGTGCACTGGCTGCCAGTTTGTCACTGGGCCAAATTCAACAGCTTGAGACCATTTACCTGGCAAGACTCTCTGGGGTTCAGTGTGGAAGATACATGATTAAAGACTGCAATTGAAATGTGATTCCACTGTTTCAGTAGGTGGTACTAAAAGGGCCTTTCCTTACCCAAATGATCCACTCAAACACTTGAATCTGCAGAACTAAGTGTTTTTCAAGTGCCACATTTCTGTATTGCTTTTGGAAGGAACTGAGCTTGACAGCACCTAGTCTGGAATTCCTTGCCTATTAACATGAAGGTTTTTGCTACCTACTTAAAAAAAAAATCTTATACAAGCCCTACTCAATATACAAAGTGGGCATGCATTTTATTATGTAATTTTAAAATATATTTTTTTAGGCTTTTTTCTATTCACTTAATTGATTAGTAGCAGCAGCAAACATTTACCACACTTGACTGGCCACCAGAAAGCACCTGCCTCCTGTTAGGCCATGGCATAATTGGCTGGATTATAACCTGCTAGAAGGCGAAGTCAGTTAACTCTAAATTTCTCTAAGAGTGGTCATTTTTTGCCACTTCCTCAGTGTATCAAAATCTGCTCTGGGCAGGATCCAGCACCCTCCAGAACAATGCAGGAATAAGGTTGGAGAGCCTAATCAGCAGCAATTGCCTTGTTTTCTCCACTGTATGCCGCTAGCATTTTTGCATTGCAAAGTGTGGGTACAACCAATTAAATATTACCTACCATTGTTGTTTTGATGAATTATGCAAGAAGTTTATTTCTAACATGTCTGATTAGTTGATTTACTTTTAACCTATAGCTTCCTAAGAGATGTGTGCTTTCGGAGTCTTGCTACAAAGATCGCAATGAGCCTGAGCTATTCAACGTACATTAAGCCTGAACAATATTCAGCTACATTGGCACATCTTTCTTAAATAAGTCTTTCATATTTAACATAAGATTTGCAAGCATTCAACCCAAGTTGCCACAACAGAAGCAATGCTGTAGCTGGAACAGAAGGAACCAAAGCAATTGCCGTGATTTCAAGCCAATGGTTGGAGCCCCAGGTAAAGTTCACATCCCATCACAAATGGCCTCACCTAAGGGCTTGCTGAATGGGGTGGCTGTTGCAGAATTCCCTAAAATTGTGCAGAGCATTCCCGCTTTCCCCATCCAGCAGGTTCCCATTGACGATCAGAAAATGGCTTTTCCCCAACCGTATACCTGTATCTCTCTTAACTGGTGTACTATAAAATAGTGTTTGGTCTAAAGCACAGCACACATCTTCTTAGGATGCTGGACACTGATGTGGTGTCAAAATACTTATAGCTGGATATAAATTTAACTATTTTATTAAATGTTTTTTCTTCAGTAAAAACCTTTGACTTGAGTGTACTGCATAAATTGTAGCAATAATTTGATGGCAACAGAACCATTTGCAAATTTGTCTTTTCTTTAGTAGCATGTTTTCCAGCAGCAAAATGGCATGGCAGTGAGATTGTCAAAATACAAGTGGCATAGCAGATGCTGAATCTGAGCATAGCCTGAGAAAAAGCTTTATGTGCATGAGGTTCCAGATTTAATTCCCGTTATCTCCCATTTAAGAAGCATCTTAGAGCTGGAGAACACTTCTCTGCTTGAGACTAGAGCACTGCTACAGTGGAGTAAAAAGTATGGTTAGGTGAACCAATTGTCTTAATGTAACACAACTGTTTACAGTGGTACCTCAGGTTAAGAACCTAATTCGTTCTGGAGGTCTTTTTTTAACCTGAAACTCTTCTTAACCTGAGGTACCACTTTAGCTAATGGGGCCTCCAGCTGCTGCCGCCGCACGATTTCTGTTCTCATCTGAAGAAAAGTTCTTAACCAGAAGTACTATTTCTGGGTTAGCAGAGTCTGTAACCTGAAGCATCTGTAACCCGAAGTACCACTGTAGTTTAAAAATACCTACCTACAAATCCCTTAAACTGTACCCATTGCTATCATACATGACATTATGCTTTTTTTTTTTTTACACAACACTAATAGGGATGGAGGAAATGCAACTCAAAGACATATATATATTAAGTTTCTATTGAATAAGCATTATTTTGTTAGCAAATATAGCCCTGAACTCTGAATTTTTATTTGGACATTTAGCGTTCAATAAAGTGAACTTGCATAGTTCCTTTGCCTGACTGAAAGTAGCATGAAGGCTATCTATCTGCAACTAGAGTGCCTGGTTGGTTACTTGTAGCAACCAGTTAGAATGCCCACTTGTTCAAGTTGATTTAGAATCAACATCTTATTAACAACTTCCCTTTGACTTTTTTGAGGGAGATATGCTAGCAGTTAAAAGTACAGTGGTACCTAGGTTTAAGAACAGCTTATTTTATGAACAACTTGGATTAAGAACACTGCAAACCCGGAAGTAGGTGTTATGGTTTGCAAACTTTGCCTTGGAAGCAGAACATGTTCTGCTTCCTGTTGAGTGTGCTCCATTTGTAAACTGAGTAGCCCACTGCTATGGGAATGCATGCCTCGGTTTAAGAATGCTTTGGTTTAAGAATGGACTTCCGGAATGGATTAAGTTCATAAACCAAGGTACCACTGTATACTGTTTCACTGGTCATAGCATTGCCAAGATAATCTAACAGACATGCGGACAATAAGGGACAAAGCAGGGTCATACTGTTGCAATGCCACTTTCTAAACTCCTGTTTTTGCCAAAACCTTAAGTAAATACTAGAGTTACCAGAGTACAGTGCTGCCTTAAACTAGAAATCTAGGATTGCTCATACATAAACCCATTAGGTAAAAACATAAAATGTTTATTTTTGAATCTTCTATAACTTAAGCATGCAATCACAACAATTTTTCTATTAAAGTTTATTTCCCCTCAATTTAAATACCATATAATAACTATTAGAATGTTATAACGCTAACAAATGCAGTTGTTTCAATTAAATTCAACAAAGATACTTTGCTTAAGTATGTTACGTACAGCAAGAGGTGATAGTATTTCATATTTTTATACCGAGAAGGAATTACTTTATGTATTCTGTATTAGAGAATACCCTTAATCCAGTGTCAGGTTAACTACCACCAAGCTAGTAATACATTGCATCTGCTTCACTTGCTCCCAGATTGAACAGCAAAGAAAAGCACCTATCCAAGTACTGTAAATTTTTCGTCCTTAAGTTTATCAACTACCTTAAATAATTAGTGATCTACACTTTCAAAGTATGCTGCCATTTAATTAATCCTAAACCTAGTATACTCAAAATGATTTATGGTTTATTTCATACAGAGCGATTTATTCACATCACTACTTATCCAACATCCCATTTAACACTCTTTACCTTTGCCACACTTTACCTTTGCCACACACGCGGCATTTTTTCCTTGAAAAAGCAAAGCTCCAAACCACAAATGACCTTAAGTCAAGTTGCAGTTAAGGGTGTGTAATATAAATTTGAGTATTAGCAGCAAGGTCAAATTATAGTTGTGACTGTTTTAGTAATGCTTCCAAACCTATCAAAGAACTTGCAGTCAATACATGCACACATTCCACATGGCTAGAAAACTGTGAGCAGCAATCCAATCCTAAATAATTACGGAAGAATCATGTGTTGTATTACAAGATCAGGGGGATAATCCTGATTCAATATTTGGTGGGATGATTTTAGGATGAAGTGGATTTCAAGAGCTGGAATGCTTCTCGCTCAACTAGCATCAAGTCTCCAACCCTGGATTAGTGGAGGATACATGGGTATAACTTGCTTGATCTGGCACAGCAGAGGCTAGTGTAAGCCCCTAAAAGGGGACATTCCAGGGGAGAAAGGCTGGATCCTAGGTTTGTTCAACTCTGTTAACGTGACACTGCAACTCAGCATTAAACACTATGCTAAAAGCTAGTTTTCCTTCTGCAAGGTTTAGGTGGAGCTGCAGCAAGTAACCTCACTGCCCAGCAGGGTTTTGATGTGGTGCAAGTTTAAGTAGCTTTACACAAGCTCGCTTTATGCCAGTTTCTTGTGCGTTAGTTTGCACTCACAGTAGTCTAGTATCCAAGCATACTTTATTTCAGTGTTTTTTATTGCAAAGGAAAATGTACTTTTAGTAATTAAGGAAAGTCTTAATTAAGAGTAATTTAAAAATTCATTGTAGCATTTAAAACTACTTTGGACATGGCTCCATCTTTTAGTGTAGTTATAAAATTAAGCTTACGTACATGGTAAATTTTATTATTTGAGGTACTCTCCATAGTCTAAATTGTGACTTCAACAATTTAAATTTTGGCTGATGGTAACTATGGTTTTGAGTTAAATTTACAAAGTTCCACAAAAGTACAGTAGTACCTCGGGTTAAGTGCCGTATTTTTCGCTCTATAACACGCACCCAACCATAACACGCACATAGTTTTTAGAGGAGGAAAATCCGTAGGCATGCCACCCATAGGCATTCCCTCCATAACACGCACAGACATTTTCACTTACTTTCTAGGAGGAAAAAAGTGAGTGTTATGGTGCAAAAAATACGGTACTTAATTCGTTCCGGAGGTCCATTCTTAACCTGAAACTGTTCTTAACCTGAAACACCACTTTAGCTAATGGGGCCTCCCGCTGCCGCCAGAGCACAATTTCTGTTCTCATCCTGAAACAAACTTCTTAACCCAAGGTACTATTTCTGGGTTAGCAGAGTCTGTAACCTGAAGCGTATGTAACCCAAGGTAACACTGTAAAGGCCTCTAACAGTTTAGGACAATACAGTATCAGATACAACAAAAGATATAAAGGATGACCAGTATTTGCAAGTTACTATTTTTTCTTGAAGCTTTTAACAGCACTTTTTCTGCATATATTATGGAATTTAATTATATCCATGCAAATATCACACAGCATGTAATTATTGACTAAATCTTATGAACCCATGTGCTGAGGCAGTGGCTTCTAACAGCCATATCAAAGAACGAGAGGATATTTCATACCCCCATCCTGACATTCTCTCCTCACTCTTGACATAGGAAGGCTGCCAAGCATGTGCCACTGCTCCCATGTAATGTGTTTTGGTAGGTGCTTTGAAAAACTGGACTGGAAAACGTCCGATTGTTTCAGCTGCTGTGGCACAGCATCTATGGTAGATAATACATCAATTAAATTTCAGTAACAAATAAAAACACCTGTTTTGATTTTCGAGTACAAAGTTGGTGATTTATTTAACACTATCATTTACAGGTTATGCAAGTTGCTTTGTGTGGCAAAACTTTACTGATTTTACAAGGAGAATTTTGAAAACAGTAATTGATATACCACAAACATGGAACAGTACAACCATGTTACTCCACTCAAACACAGCAAGCAATGGGAAACTATTCCATTGCTAACTGTTCTGTGTTGCTCCAGGACCATCAGCTGAGAAGGAAAGTTGTTCCAGGCTCTAGCCCCACCAACCTCAACAGGCCGGGACAAGTGCAATACCACTGACACACACAGCATTGCAACTTATCCCAACCTGTGTAGAAAGGGGTACAACCTATCGCTTATTCATTGATTTTTCACTGCCACAGTCAGTTTTGCATGGATTTGCACAGCAGAGTATCATACAGCTGGATGCAAACCTGCAAAACTAACCAGAGTACAGTGTTCAACAGACACATAGAAAAGCAGAACACAGGAAAAATCTGGGTGAAACTGAAGTTCTACAGCTTGTAGAACTTCAAGTGCTCCTAATGCAGTAGATTATGAATCACTACCTGCACTATAAGCACTTTAGCGCTACAGAAGCTGTTTTGACTGCTCTTCTGGAGACCTATGTTAACTTAAAAGTGAAATCATTAAAATGTTGATATGTAGACAATAACAGGCCACAATCAGTTTTGCATAGATTTGCACAACTACATTCTTCTTGTAGTGCAACTATGCAAAACTAACAGAGGACTGCAAAACATTACTAGATTTTTTATTCAGTGTGAATGACTAGGTGAAAATACAACTTCTTATGCCAGAAGGAGCACTTAGGGCAGTAGATGCTAATCTACTTCACTATCTGCACTAGATGCACCTTAGAACAAAAAGCAGTCACCATGTGGCGGCCATTACAGAGTAACTTTCCAAAACCTTTGCTGCAGTTGCCAGCATAATGCTACAAGTGCCTTCACTGCAGTAGGTTCTATATATCACTACCTGCACTGTAAGCACTTTGACATTACTCTGGCATGAAGAGGATGTTCTCATTTCCAAAGCTTCACCTGGCAAAAAAAGAAAAAAAGTTCTATTAATATACAGTTATTAGCAGGTTTTTCAATAGTAACAATGGTAACAAATCTGCACCAGATGAGGCCTACCTCTGTTGGTTTTTCATCTACCACTCTGTAAACTACTAAATGATCATGAAGAACAATAATTCAGTTACCAAGATTAGAACTATGGCCAGCATAATGTGTAAGTAAAGTGGAAGGCAATTTTATCATAGTGGGATGCTGTTGATTTGTTTTAGAAAACAGGAGATTAAATAACCATGCATGAGCATGTTCTTACCAATGTGTATCAAGGCATTATTAAATAGCAATTGTTGTGAAACAAAGTGCTTAAAGACTTCAAAATCCCATAGCTAAAAAAGTGACTATCGACTTCCTGCTCCAATTGATATGAAATTATTTACACCTTACCATTTGAATTAAGCTGAAGCTTTTTTAAAGCAGCTGGGAGTCTGTAAGCTATAGTTTTCTCTGAGGATCAGCACATCTCTGTCTTTCGATAGCACAATGAAACCAATTCCCTCTTTCTTGGACATGTGCATGTTCCATTTCTCCAAGTACCCAGAAAGATGCAGCGAGTCGAAAGTTACCCCCTTAGACAAAGGGAAACTTTCCTCTTGGGGGGTGGGAAATAAAATAAAATGAAACCTACGTCCCAAACTCCTCCACGGGCCCGCTACCGCGAAGAGAGCGAGCAAACAAAGCAGCCTTGAGCACCCAAAGAAAACAAAACCAAGGCTCACTTTCCCCGTCGCGTGTTTCCCCTCCCCCGCCCCACCGAGCCACAATGCGCACACGAGAGAGCCCGGGTCCTTTCTCGGAGAACTACCTGTTGGTAAAAAGGCGCGGGAGCCGCCTAAGGAGCGCGGCGGCGGCAGCAGCCGCGCGGGGTCCGCGAGGGTAAAGGTGGCGGGAAGCAGATGGGGAGCACAATGGCGCCCCCGAGCCGGGCCTGCGGCTTCTCCGGAGCTTGCACGTGCTGAGCCCGCGAGCTGCCTGGGCCCAGCAGGGGCGCCAGGGGGCGCTGTGGCGGCGGGTCAGGGCTCGGCTACTGGAGCGGCGTATTTTCCCTTTTCTCGCGCGCCCCCTCCTCCTCCCCCCCCTCCCGCGAGCCGGCCAGGCCCGCCGTCCCTTTACTTCCTTTATGCCCCAGGCCTGGGCCGCCCTCGCGCTGCTCTCCTCCGCCCCCTGTTCCCGAAGGGGAAACCCCCTTACCGCGCTTCTCCCCCCCCCTCTCCCGCCTCTTGGTCTCTCCCTCTCTCCCCTCGCGGGTGGTGGCGGCGGCAACGGCGGCTCCCACATGGCCGCGGCCTAACTGGGAACAATCGGCCTCAGCACGCGCAGCCGCCGCCATGTCCCGACCCCGCCCCCCTCGGCAACATGGCGCCGCCGCCGCGGCCCCGCAACAACCGCCACCACCGCAGGGCGACTTCGCGGCGGGGGAGGGAAGCCGTCCGCTCTCTACATCCCCCGCCGCGACCCTTACCTCAAACACGCGCTCCTTCTCCGCCCCCCCCCCCGTTTTCGGCGGGAACCGAAGGGAGAAAAGAAATAGCGCGAGAGGGAAAGCGGGCGAGGAGGGGGATTAAGCCGCCTCGCACGCAGCCCCGGCCAGGGCCCCGCTGAGGCAACGGCGCCGCCCCCGCCCCTCCCACAGAACAAAAGCCCACGCGGGGAAGCGCCCCCCACCCCACCCCCAAACTTTTGAACCGCGCTCGAGGCGGCTAACGGCCGCGTGGTGAGCTCGGCCGCTCCCCCTCCTCTCTCCCCCATGTGCCCGCTTTTGTTCCGAGGAGTTGCTCGGCCCGAGCCGGCCGGGCCGCCGCCTCCTCCTCCTCCTTCCCTCACCAGCCACTACCTCCATACGCACCTTCCCCGCTCGAAGTCCTTCCTTGCTCGCCGGACGCCCTGAGCGAGCGGCGAGGAAGAGCGGCGGCGGCAGTTGCGAGCGGCCGCCGCGCGGCCTTTTCAAATCTCCCTCATTCCGGCCCCGCCCGCCCCCGTGCGCGCGAGCGAGGAGCCGTCGCGCGGGAGGCGCCGCCGTTACGCACGCAGAGAGAGAGAGAGAGGGGCGCGCGCGCGCCGCCTCGCCATGCGCTGCTGCTTCTCCCATCTCCGTCGCCGCCCCCGCCCCCCCCCTCGCGTTCGTTCGTTCCCTCACGGCCGCTTCTCCGGGCCGAACCCACCTCTTTCCAGTCACGGCCAATGAGGCAGAGAGCGCGCTTTCTCTCTCTCTCTTCCCCCTCACGAAGCCGAAGAAGCGGCCGCCGCAGTAGCCGCCGCGCGGGCTGTGGCGCGTGAGGGGGCTCTCGCGTAAAAGGTGGTGGTGGGTGGAGTGGGGAGGGGGAGGAACACCTCACGGCCAACCGACCAACCAACCGCCGCTCCCGTTTTCCCCGCCCCACCCCCTCTCCCCTCATAGAAGTGGCGGGAAGGAGGAGGAGGGCGGCGGCATCAGGCGAGCTGGGGAAGGGGGGGGGGAGAGAGAGCGAGAGAGGAGAGAACCATGTGGATAAAAGCGGAGGGGGGGTGGAGAAATGAAGGGCGGCGGCTCCCGCCTCAACGTAAATATCCACAAGCCTCCGCTCCGCCCTCATTAGCATAGAAAACAAAGTGCTTCCGAGCGCCGCGGCGGCCAATCGGGAGAGGCCGCCCCGCCCACGCCCGGCGAGGCCACGCCCCTCCCCTCCCTCCCTCCCGTTACTACTTGCTACTATTATCGCCGCTGCGCCCGCCCTTCCCACGCTAAGGCGGGAGAGGCGATTCAGTGGCAGAAGAAGGCTATTGACTGCGCTCAAATAGCAGCAGCATCTTTTTTTTTTTCTTTTTTGCTCCAGTGCAACATTCCCCAAGAAACGTGCCGGTTCCATGAATGAACGCAGATGCGAAAAAGGAAATAAAAAATAAAGCCCAGGCACATTCCGATCAAGAGTTGGAATCTGGAAATCGCAAGCCCCTCCAGTTTTGTTTCCGCCCTCGGTTTCGAAGGTTTTCTTTAATAATAAAGATGCTCGTGCTCCCAACTGCCAGCGATGCTCGAGCTTGGAAGCGTGGGAAACGCTTGCGAGGGGAAGGGCGAACTCCTGGCTTCGCTGCAGCATCTTTGCAAGAACTAAGTGCCTTGGGTTGAGGTGCTGCTGCTGCTGCTGCATCTCTTGCCCCGAAGCAGGCCCTCCTGGGTTAACTTCGCGATGGCTTCAGAAAGGCTTGCCGGTGGCCCCGCAAAACTTGCGAAGGCTGCTGTGCAGTTGCTTTCGTAAAAAGGTCCTTCGGCGCACAACGGCCTTGCAAGCACGATCCTAACTATGAGGTGCCAAACGCTACCTTAAACTCCCCGGAAAGTGCCTGAGGTTAGAGAAAGGGGTAGAGGTGGCTAAACCCATTTATCCCAATGGCGCTGGGAATCAGCCTGCACGGCATGGCTTCCTTTTTAGAATACGCTTTGTGTCCGAAGTTTCTTTTAAAACACACACCCATCGAAGTCACCAAAGGCCCATTTTGCAAAAGCGTGGGTGGCTACAGCGCGTAACAGCGCAGCGCCAGGAGGAGAAACGAGGTTACTCCGGAGTAAGCTCCCTCCTGGGGTGGGGTGGGGGGAACAAGAGGCGGGTGGTGGTTCTTTATTTGGTGAATGGGGGGGGGGTAGGCGGAGGGGCTTGCTAAGCTCCTGCAAGAGGAAGGCAGAGAAGCGGGGGGAGGGGATGATGAGCGGTGGTGGCTCTTTAGCATCGAGCTCCCACCCCCTTCCTGTTGTGTTTGCTCACTCCCGTTAGTGGCCCATTCACTCTTTCACGGTTGTTTTTGTTGGATTGGCCAGGGCGAGGAGGAGCCTGGTTTGGGGAAGGGGGGGGGGAGCTCGGCCCTCCCCCCACCTCGCTACGAACTCACACCCTCTCTCTCTCCTCGGCTGCTTACACGCACGGTTAGCGTTTCATTGTAAGGCATTGCTTACCTCCCCTGACTGCAGCAATTCGGTTGCCTTCATTAGATCACGCAGAAAGTGACTCTGCGCGAGCGTTACAAAGAGGAGCCGGAGCGCACAAACAGATGCGAGCGCGGGGGGCTCGCTCGCTCTCCCCCATCCCCCACCCCTCTCCAAAACAAAGTGATTGTTTTCCCGATCGCATCGGCTTCCCATTCTCACTTTAAAACACACACACCCCCCGGAAAAGTTTCATAGTTTGCAGCTTGCAGGAAACTCGAGTCAACTGTTAACCTTACATTAACACTTAATCCAGGGAAATCCTCCTTCTGTGGACGCGCATTTCCAACTTCCAATGTCATGCCGGAGAGCTGGAAAGAATTACGCCAGTCTCGTGTTTTGTACTATTAAAGAGTTTTAAAACATCCCGCTGGCTTGAAACGGTCCATTTTGATTGTTCGTGTACAAATTTCAAAGCCCACCGAAGTTTTACCATTTAACAACAAGTCTGATGGGGTTTGTTTTTTTACGGAGCATTTACATCTCTTTTAATATTATAAACTGCTAGAAACGTGTGTCCAAACTAAAGCGGATTCTTAAAAGTTAACACGATGTTGTAGTTGCTTTTGACTTTAGAATGGTTACCAAAATAATCACTAGCCACGCATTTTTCATTGTACTTTTAGCACTGACTCCAAAGCAGGGAGGAAGATGGCCACCAACATTATACACACTAAAGCAAACTGTTGATCTGGGCTCAAGTGCCAGGATTACCTTTGAGTCTGTATAGAAAACGTCTAAAAAAAAATACCAAGAGGAAATAATGGTAGCTAGCAAAAGTTGACAATTTTTGTTGAGAAAAATGGAGAAAATGTTAGCATTCCAGACATTGCTAAGATATTTTTGCTTAACATTCTTTTTTGTGCTGATGTCATCTCAGTCACTTAAACTCGATGAATAAATAAGATGACTTAATTTATTTTGTGCCATTTTATACATAACAAAAAGCTTATGTGCAAAGTAAGTGTAAATGTTGCCTTGTATCTTGATGAGCATTTCTGCTTTCTGTATCCTAAATATCTTAACGTGACTTCATGCAGTTCAAAGAAATTCCTGAGGAATATTGTTTCTAAAAATAGTTTCCATAACTTTAAATGGTACTTTTAATTTGTCTGGTAGGAAAGATATGTAAAGCAGTGTGTGTTTAAGATGCAACCATGATAAACTTTCCTGGGAAGACACAAACTTACTTCCAAGTCATCATGCATCAAATTACACTGCACCGTAATATTACTAGCCTGGAACTTTTTCTTCTAACTAAGTGGCAAAGAAAGTTGAGGAATAATTTTAAACTGCTTTCCATGGTGTCCAAGTATAACATATTTTTTTTACATGTGAGCTTTGAACCAGGTTTTAGAAGAGGGCAAGAAGGTGTGCAGCTTTAGAATTTAATAAATAGCATCCATTAGCAAGAGAAAATCAAGATGTGTGTGTGTGTGTGTGTGTGTGTGTGTGTGTGTATATGATGATGAAACCAATCTAAGTGTCCACAACTCATGTCACTCTAACTTTAAAATGAAAGTAAAAAAATAGGTTGACCACCAGAATATTTGCTCACTTTCAAAATAATCATTGGTCCAAAAACACATCTACTCAAGGCTGAGATCTTCCAGGCAGTAAGTCCCATTGAAACCTGAAATGATGCAACTGTTAGTTTTTGCTCCTAAGTATATATATGGACCAAAGCTAGCCATATTTACTCATAAGTAAATCCAACTGATTTTAACAGATCCTACTCTCAAGTAAGGCTACAATTCAATACACATTTATCTGAGAGTTATCTCAGGATACTTTCCTATAAGTGCCACAACTTGGTGGGGCTCACCTCAAAGTAAACATAGGAATAATTAGATTGTAAAACTTGTGGATGCAGAGTTGAGTAAGTGGTGATTGCAAACTCACAGGTAGACCTGTGGTTGGCAACTGAATTTTAAGAGAGGACCTCTTTTCAGTGGAGCAACAAGTGACATAAGATCAGTAAAATTGGCTCTTCCACACGTGTTTGGTCATAGTCAAAGGGCTCTTTAATACCTTCTTTTAAAAAGACTTTGGCAAACCTCTCTCTTCACTTGCTGTTCAGTATTATTTCCCCATTTCCTGGCCCAAACCAGTGTCTGAACAGTATATATCTGACTGCAAGAATTCTTTTCCATTCAAAAAATACAAGTCCTGGTACATGCAGCTAGCCTAGCCTAGACAGCCCAATTCTCTTCAAGTGTATTTTAAAAAAATTTAAAAATGATATGGAGAATCCATGTGAATCGAGATCGGAACCAGTCTGAAGTAGTTCAGTAAATCCATTTTTGCCACCTCAGCTGTTGTTTGTACAAAAAGGTGTTCTTTACGTGGGCTTTTCTTTGTAGAAATCTGAGGGGTGTTCTAACTCTAGAGTAATTATATTTACTTGTTTATTCTGGAAGAAAGCTACCCAAAGTACCAGAAACACTGGAATTAAATACATTTAAGTTTGTGAATCCAAGCACACATGATGGTAAGGTTCTTCTGCTGGAACCATTATGATGTGTCATCAATATATTTAAATGCTCCTTAAATTCTTATTTCTATATTTTCCATCCTTCCAAAAGAATGTTAGAATACAATAAAGACTATATGGGTGACAGTTATTTTGTATATGTGTCAGAGTTGCTTACCTCCAAGGAAGTCAGAGTGAGGTGTATGGGATCGATCCTCACACATCTTAAACTGAAATAGTGATTTGCCTAGTACATCCAAGCACCTTTGCTGCTGAGTGAGTGTTTGATCCAAACATTTCTCATTTTAAATCGAACACAAGCCCACTATGCAGCACATGCAGGCAAAGAGAAGAATCATTGAGAAGAGTTGTGTGGACATTGAAAGCTTGTGTCAACAATTCTTTCAGCTATAAACATACTCTTGAGCTGGGCTTGGTAATCTCTGTCCCTCCAGATGTTATTCTAGAAGCTGTTTAACTACAACGCCCAACATCCCTCACCACAAAGCCATGTTGGCTAGGACAATGGAAGGTAGGAGTCCAAGAGCACTGGAGGGACACACGTTGCCTCCTGGTGCAAGAAAACTCACAATTAGTCAAACTTACCACAGTGCTTCTTATTAGTAAACAAAATTAATACCATTTCAAAAATTAACGACCATGGCCAACAGTGGTACACAGGATACATACCCTCCAACATTTCACCAATGAAAATAGGGATGTCCTATTCCATAATAATAGTAATCATTTTATTATTTATACCCCAACCATCTGACTGGGTTGTCCCAGCCACTCTGCATGGCTTTCAACATATATAAAAACATAATGAAACATTAAACATTAAAAAAACAACCCTACTCTGCCTTCACATGTCTTCTAAACATTGTATCTCCTTGGATCAGGGGTCACATAACTCCATACCCCTCAACATTTCTCCGATGAAAATAAGGACGTCCTAAGGAAAAGGTTCAAATTAGAAACCAGGACAGCTTTTGTAAATCTGGGGCTGTCCCTGGAAAATTCCGACGCCAAGAGGGTCTGAGGTTATCCCATATTTTAAAAAGATGTGATATTCTCCGTTTCCTTGGAAAAACAATCAGTTCCAAGAGTTCTCTGAGGGGCAATTTCTACCCACAACGCTGGAGGGCTGAGGCAGCCTGAAAAAGGACACTGAGTGAAGGCTGCAAAGCCAGAGACCACCACCATGATGGAAATAGTCTCTCTGCTCTAATACAATCTCATGAGCTTCTATAAAGCAACTTGAAGAATGATTTGGGCAATAGGAGGAAAGTTGTAAGCTGTAGAAACCCTCTTTCCATCTCATCTTCATCCGGTCATTGAAGGGAGTTCCTTCCTGCCTTCCTTCCTCACACTTGCCCCTTTGACCCTCTGCTAGTTCCCCTCCATTTTCTTGTTCCAACTCTACCTTCAAACGAGGGCATGATGCTGTTTAGAAATCACCGTCTTCTTCAGCTAGTTGCATGACACAGCATTCTTTATCTTTCAGCTGCAGAAGAAAATCCCGCTTCTCTTATCTTCACCGCCTTTTGACAGGGCGGACAAATATGGGCAAATGAAGTCAACAGCTTCTGACAATCTAACCACCTTTTTCCTTGCCTCTTCTCACATGTTAGGAATAAAGGAGAAATGAAGGGATGCAGCCAGATTCTTTTTTTGTTTTATTTATTTTGCTTGTT